AGCCCCTACAAGGATCTGTGGCAATTGTTGCAGGATATCCCCCTTCTTTACAGCTGTTTTAGGATCGATTCCTTACCGTAGGATTTACTTTGGCAATCCATGCAAGCTTCTGATGGAGCGGAGTTATTGTTTAGGCTGTATTTTTAGCAGCAAGCCCTTTGTGACTACATGGAAATGTAATTTATGAAGTAGGATGCTACTCCTTAATTGTCTTTGACGTTGTGGAAGCGTACGCAGTGTTCACCACAGCGTTCTGCAAAGTAAACATTCCCCTCGTGTATGGGGAAAAGGGGCTGTGTCAACAAGACTGCCCAGCTCCTGGTCACATGCTTGAATTATCTCCCCAAGATGAGTTTCCAGGCAAATGCACATAAGCAAATGTTTCTCCAAAGCTGACAGTGTTTGTATGTAAATTCCTCATTAGCTGCGGGTCTCTTCCCTTCCTTCTCTTCCCAGTCTCTGGCTCAAAATGTTGAGTGAGGAGACCAAGAACGCTGACCCCTTAAACACAGATAACTCGTGCTAGCACCATCGGCATGCCAGAGGGGAATGTCTGCCTGTTCGTACTCCCTGCTCCTGGCTCTTGGGAGTTACCAAAGAGAAAAACAAAGCTCTGGGGTTTGGAGAAACTTTAAAAACAAAATGAGAAGTCAAGCTTGGGACACCCGTGCAAGGAAAATTCTCTGTAAGAAGCATCACTTCATCTCCCACCGAACTTCGGTCTTGTAGGGTTGCATGGAAGGAAAAGGCAGGATTGCTGTATGTTTGAGGTGGCGTGCTGGTTATCCTCCATAGTGAGGATGAAGGTCAAATATTTGGGCTGAAACCATCATTATATTTAACTGCAAGTCTGAATTGTTAGACCTGGCTTTTACCACCTCCTAGCTGCCACAGCTGATGGTCCTACAACGGGGCAGGATCAGGGGCAGCACCTCTGCCCTTCTGCTCACTCTTCTTTGGGATTCCTCTCGGTCTTTCAGGTCTCACAACTTCCCACTGTGGTGAAATGGTTAGTGCAGCTTCCAGCTCTTAAAGCTTTAGGTTTGAGGCCTGGGAGCTGACAAAGCCCAACACTGTGGTTCCACCAGCAGAGAGGCATTTTTGGTTTACAGGTGAAATACTCTGCTTGGATCTTTTTGCATATGCTTTTCACACAGGTGTTTGTATGCTCAGGCTCCCTGAGATGTTCCTAACCAAAACCCATTGTTTTCATCAGATACCTTAAAATTCTGTGCATTTTTCCCATTAATAAGCAAAGGGACGGAAAAGTTTGAGTCAGTCAGGAAGCTGCTAGGAGCTATTCTTAAATCTGGCTCTTCTAAAATGGGAAGATCCCACAACTTTACCTGCATCCATATTCCAAACTCCTGATGCTTTGTGATGCTAGTGAGGCATGAATGTATTCTGGCTCAAAACACTTTTGACTATTTCTTTTGAGTTTGGGGGTTAAATGGGTTTCTGGAGCTGATATTAGACAACGGCTGCCTCCCCTCTAGTCATGCTTCCCCTCTAGCATGACTTCAGCTCATCTGACTTCGCCGTGCCGAGAAGCACTTAGGCCTTTCAGCGGTTTCCTTCCTCCTCCTTGCTGTGCCGCCTTTTAGCCTCAATCGAAAATAAGCTGTTGATACTGGCAGTACATTTTGGTGATGAAAACCGGACATTGTTTTCCTAAGAAGCATTTAGTTGTGTACACTTGAGTTCATTGCCTTGGTTACGGTTTACAAGGAGGTTTTGTTAACTCTGCCAGCTGAGCTGCGAGGGTGCCAGGGTGCCCACAGCAGACAGAAATGATGAAGTGAAATGCACGAGTCGTTTTTTTTCTGCTTTCATGTCTTCAGAAGGGTGTTACTCTGTAGATTTTTATAGACATTCTTGAACATGAGAAGAACAAGATTACAAACTTGAGGAGGAGGGGGTGGGAGGGGAGAAAAAAGTCCTCGAGTAACCAAATTTTTCTTCTGACAAAGTGCTTTCCAGCTTTTTTTCCTCTGTAAAATGAGACTGGTCTTCTCAATGGTGGGAACAGACAGTGCAAGTAATAAACATGCAGTAGAGGGACGATGCTGGCATGCCAAGAGATGCTACTTGAAGATGACAAAGGGAACACACAGCAGAATTTTTGTAGGTGTAAGTAGAACCAGCTGAGTTGCATATGGAGGTGACAGGCACTATTGCAGTGTGGCTGCTGATTTTAGGAACTGATACTGGTGTGGTCCAAGCTGGAGCCACTGTGCTGTATGTCACAGGCTTTTCTGGTGTTTAAATCTACCTGGAAAGGTTTTGACTACTTTATTCCAACCTGAAGCCGTGCTTGCAGGCCCCTGCAGAAAGCAGCTCTGGCACAACACACCCTGAAGACAAGAAAAAAAATAAATCAATTGGGTGTGACCTGTGCTGGAGGCGAGGTTAATGGAATTGGTTTGCATTTTATGGATGACTGTAACGTACCTCAGAAATGGCTGTGATCTTTCCTTCTTCCTTATGGCACAATTACTCTGCAGTTGTAGGTAAGGGATTGTTTCAGAGCGCTTCTCCTTGCAGTTTTCTGAATCGGATGTTTAAGATTTAGGCCTGCGTTTGTGTAGGAGTGCGGTGTCACCCTAGGGCAGGAGCACCAGGAGGAAGGAGAGGTGAGGAGGAGAGCATGATGTGGCTGCAGAGTTCCTCTTCCTGGGAAACCCATCAGCACCTGCTGGCCTGTCCAAACCAAATGAACCACACGGTGTGTCAGATCAGCTCAGCCGTGCCCCAGCTTATGTTTTGGATGCTGTCAGCTCCGTATCGCTGAGAAATGGAAGTTGGTGACGATGGGAATGACCACCTGCTCCTTGAGTTCAACCTGGAGGTCTGTAGTGCACTTGTTTATTGTGATTTACCCTGAGGCATGAAGTGTTTTCTTGAGTAATCAAAGTGAAAACAAACATCTCGGGTTCTGTATCGATTTCAGAAGTAATCAGAAAAAGGTGTGTGTGACATTTTTCCTGCAGAACTAACGTAAGGGAATGGCTCCTGCCCTACTGTGGAGCAAACTGCCATGGCCCAGAGGTGCTTTTCACATCTGCCTTTGGCTTTTGGGTCTCTGCATTGGCTCTGCTGTGCCCAGATGAGGAACTGAGCGCTGAGGGGGAACCCCAGGTAACTTGTGCTGGACTCGAGGATACTGAGAAAAGCAGCACCACCGGGCTGCAGCCACAAAACAAGGCACTCTGCTCCATGTTGGGCTCCTGGGTCGTGCCAGGACCTGCAGCACTCGCTTTTCCTCCGGTCAGTGGGACTTTCTGGCATCCTCTGCCCTTACTGGCAGAGGGCAAGGGAAATGTGGCAGGCGGGAGCGTTATCAGCCTGAAATAAAGGGCTTGGGGCTGTGTTTTGTACCAGCTGAGTAGGGCAGCGTTTCCTGAGCACGTTACGTTGGCCTGGTTCCTGATTGCAGTACGAGCTGCTCAGGGAAGTGAAATAGGTGAGTGTTAAATGTAAGTGAGGGATGTTTGGTCTGTACTGAATTTGGGCTGTATCCGAGATCTGCTGGGCCTCCCTTTTGCTGGCTGTTTCACGTCTTGCTGTGCAGGCATGCCTGAAGTGCATCCTGGCTAGTTCGTCTTTACCAAGAGGAACCTGAACACGAGGCAGCTGTGTGTCTTTGAAGCTCCAGTTATCATCTTCCAGAGTAGCTTAAGCCTGACTTTTTCTAGTTAATGTTTATATATACACAGCTTTGAGACATGCGATTATTTTCCTGTTTCACAGGAGCATGCATTGTTTAGATCTGTTCTGCTTTCATGCACACACTTGAAGTAGACTTAAGTCCGTTCACTTTTTTCAGATATTTTTTTAAAGCAAGATAGAGTATTTTACCCTGTAATGAAGCAAAACGCTGGTTAAGGGGAAAAAATACCTGTAGCTTCCAGAAATGGAAGGCTTTGGAGTCGGATGGAAGGCAGAGAACCAGTTTCACACCTGCAGAGCCTCCCCGTGTGTGTGCCCAGCCTCTCCAGGAGCAACGGGACACGGCTGTGTCCAGCGCCTGCCAACGAATCCAGCCAGCATCCTACCCTCCGAATGCAGAATAGTGCCAGCGCTTCCATAATTAGCTAAAACATTGTCAGCGGCACAGAAGATGCAGGAACAGGGTGCTCTGCCAGGGTGAGGAGCCGGCTTCTCGGTGCGAGGTGAGCAGCTCATGGAAAAACTGAGCTCAGCTGCTGGGTGGAGGCTGCGCGAGGTCCCAACCTTTGCCGGTGACCAGGAAAAGAGCGAGCGGGGTTTAGTTGCTAAGGGAGCGCCCTGTTTTGCGTCTGGGCAGCCCAAGAAGAGCCGGTGCCAGGAAGAGATGACTCGTGGTGTTTGCTATTGTTGCTGCTGCGGAATCTCAGCGGCTGCGAGGAGCTGCTGGCGCTCCGCTCCTCCTCCCTGCCCTGCCTCTGCTTCTCCCATCACATCGGGTGGGATCGAGGTGGCACTAATGTCTTTGGAGACAGGGTCTCTGCTCTGTTCATCGAATTTTCTTAAGTGGATCTTAAGGCATTGACACGTGTAGTGCTGCTTAAACACCTGTGTTTTCTAATTCTTTTCCTGATTTTTTTTTGTGGCCCCCCAGCACGTTTTAGTCCCATCTAGTTCATCACCAAAGACCTCTTGAAACACACAACTGCCTTTTTTTGTCCAGCCAACGTTCCCTATTCCTGCTCTGCAGCACCTTGAGACTTAGAAAATGCTTTTTGTTTGCTTTTATTTTTATTATTTAGCATGTAATTGCTATTTCCTAAAGAATCAAGCCCGTGCTGGAGCATCCAGCTCAGATCACTCATTTTAAGCTCAGCTCCCCACAACCCTGCACACCGTTTTGGTATAATTGCAGCAAATTAGCCACCGTTAGGTGGTTTATTTCTGAGATGCAAATGCTGGCTGTGTGAATAGATAGACATAGGGATCTGTTCAGGTGCTGCTGGGTGTTATCTGCAGCGTGCTCAGAGACGCGGCTTGGATGTGCTGCCCAGAGGGCGGCCATGCACTGAGCAGGGAGTTTCAGTTGTGCTGGTGTTTATCGAGGAGGTTACGAGCCCGGGGAGCTTGGAAACCACCCTCACAACCCTTTCTCTGCTGTAATCTGCCGAGGGGAAGCACTTCACGGTAGCGCTGCCACCAGCTGCTTCGCCGAAGCCGCCTGGGTCTGGGGGAGATTTTGGCACCGCGCCCGATGGAAGCTGCCGCCCGCAAGGAAACCCCGAGGTGCGCTGGGGCGAGCTGCTGCACTGCTCGTGACATCCTGAGGCTGCTGATGGAGCCCGACGGCTCAGGACGGGGCTGTGGCTGCCTGTTGCTGCTGCGCGCATGCTGCTGACTCAGAGCTGAGCGTCGGCAGCCCGCTGAGTGAGCAAGGAATCAGGCTTGGACTTCGTCCCCGGGGTGTCAGAGCTTTGTGCCGGCACCCGTGGGACTCCAGGAGGGCTGCGTGCCCCCCAGCAGGGAGCTAACGATTAGCACTGGGGATTTATGTTACCACTTTCCATTTTTTCTTTCGGTTTTTCATGAGAAGAACAGGCTGCGGCCATGCAGACGGAAGCAGACTGCCTGAGCCCAGAAGCTCAGAAACTGGTAAGGCAAACGGGGGGAGAAGGAGGGAGGGAGAGGGAGGGCTGCTGTGCTGCCTAGGGCTCCCCGGCTGCCCCAGCCCCAAAATCCCAGTGGGGCAGGGGCAGGGGAGGCACCTGTACTCGTTCAGCTCTTCCCGGGCTGCTCAGCCTTCAGTCAGCTCCCCTCGTGCTGGTGTGTGTTTGCACTGAACATGCCTAAAAACCAAAAAAACAACAAACCTTTGTGGTTTGTTATTTTTTTTCAGCCCAGCAGGGACTGTGCCTGTAGTCCCACCGGTATTTTGCAGTCCCCTGGATACCATGAGGTTCCTGGGCATTTATCGAGCTGCTCGGCTCTGCTGTGTTGTGAGGTTGCTTCTTACAGGTTTCTGCCCCAGCTGCCTGTGCCTTTGCCTGAATTCAAGCATAATGATCGTGGATGCTTAGAGAAAGTGCTGTGGCTTTTTTACATGTGTTTTTTTCTATGATTTGGAACAGTCTGTGAGAATTTAGCCTTATTTTGGGCATGTGTGTAATTCACGGTAGCGCTGCAGCGAGTAAGGTGCCTGGTTTTGCCCCTGACTGGCAGTCACAGGCAGCTAGCTCTGCTAAAGGCTGGGAGTTTTCTAAGGCTTTTCAAAAATAAGGCACAAAAACGTAAGCTGCTCGCTGCTCAGTTTGGTATGGGAGCAGATACATCAGCTGAATTGGGTCTGTGCTTCCTACAAGTTTCAAAACAGCCCCGAGCCTGCATGAAGTTTTAAAGGAGGGATTTCTCAGCTGCTGACACAAGCTGTCGCTCTCCTCGTTCCTCGCTGTCACCCCGTGGTTCAGAGGGGAGCTGTCAGACGAGCCCATAATGGGCCTCTCTGCCTAAAGGGTGGTGGTTAGCAAGGAATCCTTGGTTTATATTTAGGCGAACCTGCTGCCCTCTGAGCCATTTACATGTAAGAGAAAGGTAAGCTGGGCAGGATGTGGGCTGAGCAATCCCTGCGTGATTCACAGGCTCGCCATCAGATGATTAAATGGTGCAAAGTGTATTTATTTATAATCCCAACTCGGCTGCAAAAAAATGCAGGTGAGTGACCTCTAACCACAGAAGTCATTTCCAGACAGCCTCATTTCAGGGTGAAGGAGCGTGTGATAATTCAGGAGCAGCTCCTGGGGCTCGCTGGTTTCCATCACTTGTTGCTGGAGCGGAGGGGAGGCAGAGGACAGCAGTGCTGCGGGTTTCCTGCGGTGAATTCGTGCGCCTGCTGCACTGTGGGGATACAGCAAGTCAGGTGCTGCTTGTCCAAATAAGCCGTACCTTTTTGAGAAGTACACCAAGCCTTATCAGATTTCTTTTGGCTAACGAAGCATGTGACTGACGTAAAGGGAGCGAACCGTTGTGCAACGCTTCAGGAAAAAGCTTTCACCTGCAGAACACAGGAGCGGGATGGCAGCACCCATGAAAAGTTGTGCTCGCAGCAAACGCCAATTGCTGGCTCTGTGTTGGGCACATTGGCAAGCAACTCAGCCTGAGAATAGCTGTTACAGAAACATGTAATAGCTGTTGCAGGGCTTGCAGGTATCATTTAGTCGGGCAAACATATGTCTTAAAATGTCTGCGGCGTTGGGATCAGAGAGCTTTCTGAATATGGTTTCATGCTGGCAAGCTAACAAACGCTCCAGCCCTCCGCAAAATACAAAAAACAAACCTAATCTTAATTTTTAGCCTTAGAAGCAGATCATTTTGAGTACGTTGGATTTAAGGAGAGCTTTGTATAGATTGAAACCTTCTATGTGTGTAGCTCTCTGTGGTAAGTCCACATAATTTTTTTCAGTGCTCAAAAAAGCAGCATAATTTCCTGCCTTTGTTGGCTATTTCTTGGGGCTTCCAGTGTAACAATGAACCCTTGAACGCTGCAGAAAGGAAAAGCTCCGCGAATGCACACCTTCAGGATGTGTGTCATCAGCCTCTACCTAACCAAGGCACCTCCATAATTCTCTCGTCGGGACGATAATGGACATCCAGCTTCCCCGGGCGAGAGGACGCCGCGCTCGGGGCCGGGAAGTCCCCGCTTCCTCCAGCATTGTGCTTCGTGCAGCAGCGCTGGGGACAGCACAGGTTGACCCCACAGCTGTGGATATTCCCATTTCTCCCCGCAGCCCCGTGGGGCAAACAGGGGGAGGAAACACTGCTGGCCCTGCCCGGCTGGTGTCCAGCTTGTTCTTGGACGGCGTCGCACGGCGGTAACGAAGCAGGTCGCAGGGCCGACGGTGCCAAACTCCTTCGTGCACGATAAGGATCTGCTGCGCAGGGCTGGATCTTCCTCTGAACACTAAACCCAGCGTTAAGCAGGGCTGTGGGGCGCAGAGCAGGAGGACAGACAAAAGCAACACGCACTTCGCAGGGCGTCTGCAGCTATAAATCACTGCGGGCGACTGCACTGAAATGACAAAAATGCAGGATGTGTACTTGGAGAGTTCCAGCGACTTCCCCGAAATAAGGCAATTCTTTTTCAGCTGCTGTGGGTCTCCACACTCCTCTCGGCAGCGTGGTTGCCATCTCCTCTCGTTTTGCCCACGGGGCTTTGCATGAAGACCCTGCAGGTTTTTTTTGGATGGCACGCACAGTTCAGCTGAAGCCGCCAGCAATCTTTGTCAGATGCGCGATGCTTCATAAGAAGGGAGTTACAAAAGCTCTTTAATGAGTGCAATTAAGCTTTGTGTTCTTACTCGTCTGTTTTTGCCAGTGATCTGTCACTTCTGATGAGGCCTGCGTTACTCACGGAGTCGGCAGTGAATTTTAGATGGTTCTAAGATTTGCTTCCTTCGGTCTTGGTGATTTATCTCATCTCAAATCCCTTCAATAGCTGTTTGTTTTAGCAGCCTCGAGACTCTCATTTTAGCTTTCGTACTCCGAATTTTCAAAGTCTGCCTGCGCTCATCGCCGCTGGAGGTGTGCTGAGCAGCATTGTGGCCCTTGTCGGGGTACGGGCGAGGTGACTCGGGTCTGCTCTGGCAGTGCTGGGGCTGGAGGGAGGCCAGGGCTGTTCAGGCAGAGCCTGTTTTGGGGCAGTCAGCACGGGGAGAAAGGCTGAGCTCACGCCGTGCTTTGCAGGCTGTGCAAGAAACCGAGGTATTTATAGCAGAGAGCTGTTAATGCGAAAATGCAGCCCAAGTGTGTGGTCTGCTGAACCGAGACAAGCTGAGTCGTGCTCCTGCTTTTGAGGAAGAGGTCCATAATAAATCTGACCCTCTCACACCTTTGCCTAAAGGTAACAAAATAAGCTGGATTGGAAACAATTCAGTGATCACCCAGACAGCACCCAGCACCCTGAGGAACATGTCTGAAATGTAATGGTCAGCTCACTCATGGAATTTGCTGCAAAATACCAGGCTCATGGAAGGCTGCCCTTCGTTCCTCCACTGTGTAAGATGAGGCTACTGAGAAGCCAACAGGCTGGCTCTTCATGGGGGATGCGTGGAGGAGGTGAGGTCAAATTGGGAGAGGATGGGTCTTGACATGATGCAGGAGGGGAAAAAAGTCTGTATGAGGATGGCCAGGCATCAAAGCAGCGGCCCTGAAAAGCTGCAAAGCCTCCAACCTCGGAGGTTTTCAAGACCCAGGTGGACAAAACCCTGAGCAGCAAGGTCAGATCTCGGTGCCAGCACTGCTCAGGGCTGGGAGCAGAGATCTCCCATGGCCCCTGCAGCCAGAAAGTGTCTGGGATGCTTTGGTGCTACACAAGCGAGTCAATTGGAAGTGCTGGTTACTGCTCGGGGTGAAATAACCTTGCACTGGCTTCTAACAGAGGTGCCAGTAGGTACGTGCTAATGGCAGGATTTGTTAAGTTTGAAAAAATCCTAATTCAAAAGCTATTTAAAAGGATCTGGAATATTTTGTTCCCTTGCTTGCGGTGACAGCTACTTAATGCTGAGGAGCCATGTGGTCCTGGAAAGACAAAGTTCATAAAAAACATATGCTCGTTCCAGGACGTGAGCCAATCCGGGATACTAAAGGAAAATGTATTTTTACTCCTGCATGTCTTAAAGGTTTGAAAATTGGCTCTGTATGAGCAAGCGAGGGCTTCAAAGCTGTAATACAGTAAATTGGAGGCTCCCCATGGATTGCATCTAAAACCAAAACGTATCCTGTATATACACATATACATAACATGCCATTTAATGGGATGCTCAGAAAGCCAACTCACTGCAGTCAGTGCTGGTATCCAGGGAACTGGCAAGCCTTTTCTCAGGGAGGGCTTGGAATATTGTTTTTTTCTTTCATTTTCCAAGTTTTGTTTCATCGTTGTGCTCAGTTCTGGAGGATGTGTACTTGTGCAGTACAGCTTGCAAGGCTGTGAATCCTTTGGCCCTTGTGATACGAGGAGAACGTATGGGGAGATGCAGATGTGTGTAAAGCACAGCAGCTGCATTGTACATGCAGCTGTTTTTTTCTAATCTGGGAGATCAGCTGGTTGTTGAAATTCATAAGGGAGATACCCACAATCATTTTAACATCCAAATAATCCTGGCTTTGTGTCGCCCTCTTGTTATTTAGGTTTCTTTTCAGGTAAAGAGGGATCATGTAAAGTCAATCCAAGGCTTCTTCCAGCACCGTGATTCCTTATTTTGAGCATATGCCTTGGAGCACTTTTATACAGTGGCTGTCTTAAAAACTTGCAGACCTCACAGCCTGGAACCTCTGTCCCTGGTAGGGCACACAGGTGTGTTCATGGTTTTTCTCCAGAACCCAGCTAATTGCCTCAAAATTCAGACCAGGAGCTGAAAAGAGCCAAGCCAACATTGGCTCTTTCTGCCGTGGACGCTTTTACCCTCTGAGCAGGTTTTCTGGTGTTGCAAGTGGTTTCTCAAGCTGAAGGCATCTGGGGTGTACGGATTAGAAACTCCTTTCATTTCAATGTGTGGCATTTGCACAACAGGGAGCTGAAACAGTCCCCAGGATCTATAGATATATAACACGTCTGCTGGCTGTGTGCCTGTTATTATTATTTTTACTTTCTATTTTTAATTTTTTGCCGAGGGACTGTCTAATTCGGATTCTTTGGTGTTATTTTTGATGAGGATTTAAGATGTACAACGCTGTGGGATCTCAGACTTCCCATACAGAAGCTTGTGCTTGGCTTTCCCCAGCCCTTCCCTATTACCTGAGAATTGTAGCCCTCTTCCCACTGGACCAAGTGGTTGAACATTTTTTGGATGTGGGCAGGATACCTTTATTTTTTCTCTTTCCTCTTGGTTTTCCTTCTGTTTAATAGTACTAGCGAAAGAGCTGGTGCTCTGACTTTCTGTATGCTCGGCCTGCATGTTACTGTAGTTTTTCCTGCCAAAACAGGTACTTTGCTTACAGGGAGCAGCTCTGGGGCCGGGGGAGTTGAGTTGGGTGCCCTCCTAGAGAGACGAGAGCACGCGATCCCGCTTGCTCCCTCCAAGCCCTCCTGAATCACACTGGATGCACCGCTCGCAATCCCACCGGACCAAAGCCGAGCTGACTTTGCACATCAGGCTTCCTGTTTTCGCCTGGGATTTAAACCAGATTATTAAAAATGTTCCTTCCCAGCCCGTTCTGGCACTTCCAACCCCGTCGAAATGAGGAAGCTCGATAGCTCTCGTGGGAGGCCTGTTCTTGGCAGGTTTCCCCCTCCAGAGAGCTTTGGGCTTGAATGGTGATGTCTGGATGCTCAGATGGAGCCGGTGTGTTTGCTCGGGATCCCCGTTCCCTTGCCTCCATCGTTCCAGCCCTGGTGGTGTGCACTTGTGCTGAAAGGCAGCGTTCGCCGAGCCGCTGCACCCGCCTGTGCGCTCACACCGTGTCAGCCGCCGGGAAGAACAGCACGTAACGTGTTTATTGTGGGTCCAATTAACTCATCAATAAAAAAAACAATTGCACCGCATGGGGGGAAAAAAACAAACAAGCCAGACCTGCCTTTCTTAAATAAATCAATCCGGCCGTGTTCTCCCTAGCAGTGTTTCCTCTCCAGCCCCACAACTGGTAATTAAAGAGGCACGGGGCGCTGCTCAAGGCGGCTGCTAACTGGGGGTAGTGCCCGCACACGGGTGCATTACCTGCCGGGGAAGCACAACAAGCTGTGGAAGGCAGGGCCATTCCCTGCAGGAGGGAATTAACTCCTACAGGTGTGTTTACAGCCCTGCCGAGTCCAGCCTCCGTGTCTGGGGCCCTGCTGAACGAGCGCGCTTCGCGTCGGAGCGCCCGGCTGTGATTTCACCGCTGTGTTCCCTTCTGCAGGCTGAAGCAAGGCTGGCGGCGAAGCGAGCGGCGCGGGCAGAGGCACGGGAGATCCGAATGAAGGAGCTGGAGCGGCAGCAGAAGGAGGTACGTGCGAGGTGCTGGGGGCACGATCCAAGAACCTGGAACAGGGGGCTAGCCTCTGCTTGGCTGAGACCTCAGTCCGAGCAGAGCTGGTGCTCCTCAGTTTTATTTGCTATCGTAGGATAGCGAATAAAATGGCCAGGAAAAATAATTCACTGAATAATCCAGTATAACAATTCCCAGAGAAACACCAGTGGTTAGTTAGCTCGTAATCATTGTTTAATATTAAACTCAGAGGTATGCAGCTTGTTTGTGTGCGCACTGGGGGTGAATTCCTAACATTTCCTTGGGAATACTGAGGGAGGGAGAGTCCTGACCCTCCTGTGGCTCTCTTCTTGCAAGCCGTGTCACTTTGTTGCTGTGAAATTGGGGTTGTCCTGTTCATAAAAATGATGGTCTGCTGTGGGCAGAGGTAAAATTTGGTGGCTGACAGTTGGAAACTGAACTTGGTAAAACACTGCCTACTCCAGCGCGTTTGGATGAAATCCCCAGTGTAGCCTCTCAAAACCCTTGGAAAAAACTGTTGTTTTTGTGCAATCAGCAAAGTTACGTGTCAGTGTGAGGGCAGATCATGGGCGTCCAGAGTAGAAATAGTCATGAATGATCCTGAAGACCAAACCAGCCAACTTCTGCTCCTGTTCTGGTGGGTAGGAGCTGAGCTGCGTGGTGTTCTCTCCACTCCAGGAAGCTGGGAGCAGTGGTTTGTTTTGAAGCCACAGAAGCTCAGACAGTGCCATTAAAATGGAGCTGGGAGCACAGGTAGACCAACCCAGTGGTGACAACCAGCAGGGCTTAAAACTTACATTTGTTGATGTCCAGTGAACAAAAATGAAGTGAGATTTATTGAAACAGCAGAGTAGACCTAGCAGGGTCAACAGCAATCATAATTTAATTTATCCAAGTAAAATAAGTTTTGATGGAAAGGGAAGAAGTAAGGATTTTGGAGGAGGGGTTATGCAGGAAGAAGCAGCATACATCTGTGCTTTGGGATGCAGAGAAGGAACAGAACAGCCTGGAACAGAAGTTGGTGGGCAGTTTGCCCATGCCGAGCTTTGTGCCTCGCCAAGCTGAGGCACGTTTGGATGTGCCTTAGCACCCCGCAGCCGGGTTGGACGTTCCTGCAAACACCCCAGAAGGAAGAGCTGCAGGGGGGCACTGCTGCAAGCACAGTGCCCGTAGAAAAGCGGATCCTTTTAGTGCTACAGCTGCTGCTTGTCGAGGGATGCTCCTTGTAGCCCAGCCCACGGCCATGAGGGCTGCACTGTGGATGAGTGTTGGTACCGTCAGGCCTCCTGGTGTGCCTGTAGTGTGATGGGGTTGCTCAGCAGCCCTTGGGAGCCCCAGCAGACAAACAGTAGGTGTTTTGTTTGGGCTGCGAACTAAGTATGGGTGTCGTGGCTGCTGACAGCCTTACCATCTAATTTGCAGATGACACTAATGAGCCTTGATGACCCCTTGAAGATTAAAAGCTGCTGCTGCAAAGGGCGTCCTAGTAAATTGAAATGTTGGTATGGAAGCTAAAGCCTGCAAAGGTTCCGTGTGCTCCCACAAATAACTGATCTGAAACTTGGTGAAAATCTCCTTATGTAGATGGAAATGGAATGGTACAGGGTGTCACGCTAACACAGGGAATTCAGTGCAAGCTAACCCAGATACTCACTACAATCTGTTTTGTAATTCACTGGCATAAATTACAGACTGACTGCACACTTGCTTAATATTTCGCAAGCTTGGATATTCCCTGGATTTTTCACATAGCTTCATCTCAGCCCCCAGATGCAAGGTAGAGCTAATGAGGGTGGCTGCACAAAGCTTTTCATTGCCACAGATAACTTCCAAATATAATAAAAGAGAGCACAGATAAATAAAACCCTGAGTAGCGATCAGCACAAGGGATTTGGCAGCTGCTTCTTTGGAGAACATACTGTGGTGATACTGGTGTCTGGGTAGCTTGCTGTCTGCCATCTTCATTTTCCTTCCCAAACTCTTCAGAGAAATAAATAGCACATTCACACATGTCAAACAACCAGAGCTTTAAGCGCTACCACTTCAGAAGGCTTCTTAGAGCCGGTTATGGGATTTAAAAAGCAATGAATAAATTTATTGCATGTGCGCTTACTTGTTCATGCTTCAAGCAGTGTACATGCTCTGACAGGCTTCTGGTGGAGCATGGATCTCTTGAGAATGTATGTATGCTGTTGGCCTAGGTTAAAAGTTTCCAGATGTTCCCATTACAAGCTATAAACATGGCAATATAGCTCCCACTGGCAGTGAAATAGGGTGTTTTACTGATTTGAATTTGGACTAAAGACTGGCTCCTGTCCTGCCCACCAGCAAATATTAAAGATGTTTCTTAATCTGTCCTTCATTTTTCCTAACTTTAAAATAATTGGATAATTTCTGCATTGTGAGGCTGTGTATATGATTTAGCTCATGTTCTTCTTGCTGGAAATGCCAATACACCAGGTACCTGAGATTTTTGTTGTCTATCATAGCAGTCTCTGTAGTAGAAGGAGCAGATGTTTCATTAGAAAGCTGTTAAAGTAGCCACATGTGAGGAGTGCCCCAAAGATTAGTCACAGTGTAATAAAGCTCACCAGTAAATGGTGGGGAGTGTGCGATACCACACCAAGCTCCTTCTGGCAGGATTGCCTTAATGTAGCACAGCAGAAATTTCAGCACAGGTGATTCTTCTGGAAATTGTGTTTGTTATCAGCCACCTTATTGACCAGTCCTTTTCCTTTCAGAGGAGCGTGTGGTGAGGAGCTCATGGCAGGCAGCCTGGGTTTAGGTGGTGGTGAGCAGGCTTGCTGCAGGTGCGGGACCTGCCTTTGGTTCATGTAAATTGAGTTGGGAATCTAAGGTATAGATGGCTTTAGGAGTAAAGAACTGTGCTGCGTGATGTGGGAAAGCTGCAACAGAAGGCTGCTGCAGTGCTGGGTGGTGGAACAGGATCCCAGGTGTGTTTGGGAAGGTGGTTTCATCTCTTCGCCTGATACCATCTCAGGCCGAGCAGCAGCGTGCTGTCAGGGAGAGGAAGGTAAGGAGAGCACACGTGCAAGTCTAACAGGGAAGTAAGCCAGGTGAAGGGTGTTTTCTGAAAGAAAACAAGCACAGGAACCACGATCTATGCTGCTCTGTGAAGACAAGGACAGTGGTCAGTCCTGAATCGCGTGTATTTGACAGAGCAAGGCTCCTCGTGGAGAGGCTCTGAGAAAGGCACAGATGCGCTTGAACACAGCCGCGTGAACTTGCTCTGCACTGCTTGCTGCTGCTGCTGCTAGCCACCAGAGATGCAAGCGATTAAGCAGGAGGCTGCTGCAGGCTTTCTGGCACCCTTAAGCACGCAGTAAGTCAGAGCAGGAGAGGCAGATGCCAATTGCCTTGCTCAGCCGCGTGGGTGACTGTCAGAGGTGGTGGCACGTAGCTGATAGGACTCCTGGCACCTACGGGTCCTGTGCTGCCCCCACCCTGCTGCCGTGCTCCTTAAATGCTCGCAGAGCCAAAGGTTGGTCCGTCTGGTTCCTGCTGCAGGGCTGTGTTTGGTGCTGAGTCAAACGCTTGTGTGCGTGCAGGTATTTATTGTTCACTCACAGCAGAACAAGTCAAGAGCTGGCTGGTTTCTCTGAGTACCAAACTGTTAATTCTAGCGAGGTTACCAGGTTAAACTGCAGAGATTTTTTTTTTTTTTTTTTTTTTTGTAGAAGCTTGCAATAAGATTTATTAAAGCCCTGTTTCCAAGACTTATCCAACAGTTATGTTTCAAGACAGAAAAAAATTTGCCTTTGCTGCTTTGTCAGTTTTCCTTCCCTGGCACACTTGGCATGCATTTGTCCTCCTTTGCATTTATGCTTCTGGTGGCATAAAATGCATTGCCAATACTTTGTGGTGTTTTTTTTTCTCTCATGTCAGTCAGAACCTGCCACTAATACCGTGGGCAAAGCACATTTTTGTGATACCATAAGAGAAGGAAAGTGCTTTCTAAGACCAGTGGCTGCTCAGAAGTCTGTTGGCTGTTAAGCTCTTAGTGGGGGGCATACCTGCGATGGAGAGGACTGTTTGAAAGAGGTTTTTTCCCTCTTCTCTGTTATCTAACAAGGACAGCACGCTGATTAGAGACTGGTCACTTCAGAGACGAGCTGATGTAACAGCTGACCGAGAAACCCCAGGTTTGTGAAAGGTGGTGACAGTGAAGACAACAAACACGGCTCTGTCCCCGTGTCCTCTCCACTGCTCTGATGTGCCCGGCCCCGAACAAGGGCCCTGTTGTTATCGTAGCCACCCGTAATCTGGGTCCTGGACACAAAACCTCTTCAGTGCCCTGCTGCACGCACCAGGAGCACCTGCTGTGCCAAGCCTGAAGCGTCGGGGTTTGGAGAATAAAGGCATGCATGGCGTGCTCTGAAAGCCACGGAACAGCGCTCAGGAAAGCATCCGTGTACCAGTGTGTATATGGAGCATGGCGTGGGAGACACATCCACGGCAGAGCTAGAGGAACAACAGCCGCATGTAAAGCTGCGGTGCTTGGCTTCCTGCACAGATAAAGCGCTCTGCATGTGCAGATCAGCCCCTGCTCTTGGGAACGGTGGGAGGCTTGCCTTCATTTTCCTCTTAGAGGCTTTCTTAGCAGCAGATCAGCGAGGTGATTAGTTGTGTGGGAACGCTGCCTTTCAGTGCGGGTCTCAATTATCCCCTGGGTGCTCCTAGCAAGAGGAATTAATGCTTCTGAGGTATTAAGTTGGCTTCTGCAGTTGGCCTTCCCGATCACGAAGGGGAACCTGATCTGGGCACCAAGGCAGGGACTGGCAGGAGGGCGGTTTGCTTCCCAGCTCAGGGTTCACCTGAGGTGGCCCAGGAGAGCAGCGGATGGCGAGGATCCTCTGGCCCCAAAATACAGGGGACAAACCTCCCTGCCACCCTCTGACCAGCTGAAGGGCTGGAGTTGGAGCAACATCCCCTTCTTCTGGCTCACCTTCACGGAGCAGGGGGCTGGTGGGTGAATTTATTCAGCGTCGGCGCTTACCCAGGCAGTGGCGGTTCTGAGAGCAGCGCTGTGCTTCGCTTCAGCTAAATTCAGCTGTGTTAGAGCAGCCCCCATTCTGATATGCTGACACTGTCCCGCACGCAGCTGGAGGATGTGCAGTGCTGGTATTGCCCTTAGCAGAAGGACAGCTGCTCTGTAGGCACTGCTGGGTTTGCTTTTACTCTGGTTGTTGCACGGCTGTCACCACAGGTGAATATTTGGGCATCTGTGACATTTAGAAGGAGAGTTGGAAAGGCAAGAGGCCCTGCCTTACAGCGGGTCGGTCTCCGGCCAGTGCAAAGCCCAGGGAGAAGTGTCTGCACCTCCAGGAGTCCAGCAGGTAGGCAAACAGGAGCGTATTTCAGCAAGGCACGTGGAGGAAGCCTGGAACATAAACCCTGCTTTCATTTCACTCAGCTTGACAGGATTTCAATGTGTACTTTTCTGTATTCATGTTTTACTGTATGTTCTGTAAAATTGATATTTTTCCCTCTAGCCTGGCTCATGGAACATCGCATTGCTGTTCATCCATTCACGCTCGCTTTTCTTTCCTTGTTTCTTTCCTTCCCCTTTTTTTCTCCCCCTAGATCTATCAAGTTCAGAAGGTAGGGCTTGCTGTTTCATTCTTGTTTGCATGCGTGTTTTCTCACACTACCAATCCTGTTAGCACTTCAGAAAAACTTCTGTAGAACGGAAGATGCCCAGCAGGCTTTGTATTTCCACGCCTTTACATCCCCTTTCCTCCCCTAGCCTGGTGGGGTGGGCAATAAAGGGGAGTGGGGGAAGATGACCTGCATAAAATGGCTGGTCAAGGACTTCATGTAACCTTTCCCAGTGACTATTTGGCAATGAACAACGAGCAGAAGAGCAGTTCTGCAAACCATCCGATGCGTGCAAATAGGGTGGCTCCCGTGTCACTGTACAGCAGTGTTGCTGTTGAAGGCCAAGTGTATCGCTGGAAATATTTCAGGCTGGGCAAGCACCTAACAGGTGCCAGCAGGAGGAGTGACTTTGAGATGACTTTGCCTGCAGAAAGGCACCGAGTAAATCAGGGATATGGTGGTTGAATTTGTAATTGTCCTGTAAATAAAGTGCACGGCCTTCCTGCCGTCTGCCCAAGAAGCTACAAGCACTTTTATGTTGTTTAATACTCTTCCCCTTGGTTTGAAGGCATGATCTCTTCCTAATTTCCTCCTCGTAGCTCGAAAAGGTGGCTCAGCTAATAATAATAGTAATCAGCATAGCTGTAATGGGGGTCACTTGCCCTGTACCAAAAGCTGTTTGGCCCCTCTGCACTTCCAGCACGCGCCCTGTGTGGTTCCTGCAGGGAGAATAGCCCTGAAGAGGTTTTGCAGGGAGGGACAAAGCATGCACTTCTTTAAGCCTGCCCATTTTCCATTTCAATGAATGAATTTTTCTGAGATTTTTTTTTTTTTTTTTGCTTGCTTGCTGAGTGATAAATGCGTCCTAAACCCCCCAGCCTGCTTGCTTTGGCCTTGGCTGCATGTTTCCCAATGCTTGGCATAGCAGTGTGTGCTTTTGGAAACGCTGACCTCTCCTTTAAGTGCCTGTGTGTGTGAAGGTGGCTGCCCAAAGCATGTGCTCTGGTGCTCAATCCCGACTCGCTTCATTTGGTGACAAATACATCTTACTCTTGTTTTTACATGGGGAGTGACTGTGTACCCAGTGAATCACATTAACAGCTTCCCGTGGATCAACAGGCTCGTTATCGGTCTCCTTTATGGACACTAATTTAATCTCCTGGTACATACGCAGCCCCATGGAAACAAAGAAGTTGTTTACTGTTGGTGTCCTGACATGGATGAGAAGATAAGTGGGTTAGCTTCACAACATCCCGGAGTGAGTTTGCAAGTCTAGCAGTCTCACTGTCACTTAGTGAGCATATCTGATCTGGACTTCTCTCTCAATGGTATTAATGTCATTAATTATTTAATTTTAGTATCACCTCTCAGGGTAGAGGAGAACTTGAGGGTGGCAGAGACATCCGACTTAGGACCAGATGAATAGCCTTTAGCATTTCCATCTCCTTTAACCTATACGTTCACTCCAGCCAGGCCCCTTTGGGCAGAGCAGATGACTTAAAGAATTGGGAAGTGGCTGATGGGACAAAATAGCTGATATGGGAGATGCTGCTGGTTAAATCCATCGTGAGATGTGCTGTTTAGATTACAAATAGTCACTAAGCAATCCCTTTCATTAACGATTTTTTTTTGGGGGCAGTAAGCACATTGCTACGTCACTTCAAATGGTGGAAAAAAAGACTGGAAGTGGAATTTAATTCGTGCCTTACAAGTCTTTTAGGGGGTGTTTCCTCATCTCCCTTCTGTGAAACCGAGTTCCGAAGCCTGTGTCAGAAAGTAAGAACAGAGGGAAGAAGAAAAAGGAAGTAGGAGACCTTACAAAAGTCATCAGCAGGTTTATGGACCCTTCCTAGGTGTGAGAAGGGGTTCCCTGCCTTTATATTAATGTTTTAGGTTTTTTTTCCCACTGGTTGTACAGTTTTGTTTGTTTTTTAATTAAATCTGTTTCTAGTGTCAGAAAATCTGGGGGAAAGAAAGCCTTTAATAAGGCTTTACCTGATCTGATTTACCACCAAGTTTAATCTGCAGGTTCTGCTCATGTCTACAATCCTGACCAGCTGGAGTTCATATAATTTTAGGAATTGGGCTCATTTGCAGCACATGATGTATGTAAAACGCAATTGCACAGCATGCTGTCACACATATATTTCAGTTCTTCCTGGAAGTAACCAGTCCAAGCACATGTGAGGAAGCACGTAAGCTTTGAGAAACCGTAGTTCATGTAGTGCTCTCTAATTTCATGTAGTTTAAGGGAGAAATTTCATGTAAGCGCAACCTGGATAAGCAGTGTAGAGGGTTACTGCACATAGTTGAGCAGAAGAATAGATTTTAACAGGGAAAGAGGAAGGGAATGCTTCTATGTCCTCATAGGGATGTGGTTAAATGCCTTGAACTGTTGTCTGTTCTTGTTCCAGAGAGATGCTCACATACTGTTTATACCTGCAATGCAGTGAATTCATTTCCCATTTTCAAATTACTGGCCTAAATACTTTCCAATATTATTTTTTCCCAATTTCACCTCACCCCTGACAGCATCCCAAGGTCTTTGTGCAGTTTGGGTTGTCCAGGACGGCCTCCTAATGGGGCAACTCTCTGCAATTTCTACCTCATAACCAGCTTCCTTCCCTTCAAGCTGTCAGAATGAAAATGAAGATGACCTTAAATGAAAATCATTTTGCTGCCTAATGAGGAAGAACTCCAAAGTAGGAATAAACTGATGCAATATCATAAAGTGCTCAGACGTTTCTTCTCGTTTTTTAATTAATAGTTTTTTTTTAGGAGTGAAAGTCAAATTACATTAATACCATTGAGTGAGAGCTAACTACAGAGCATAAACCAGAAAAAGATTCTGAGTTTGGGTCATTGCTTAAGGTTTAACTGCTGCTGCTTCTGCCTCCTCAAGCCTCTAAGAAAGCAGGCAAATATAGGCTTGTTTTTTCCACAGGTACACGAAATGCATAACGTGAACTGTTCGTAGACACGTGCTGTACTTCCTTAAGCAGGATTTCCAGCTGGTGACTGTGCTCCAGCCCGGTGCTGTTCTTTGCACAGCGGGGTTACAGTTCCCATCAGGAATGCAAACTTCCCCAGACTGCAGTCCAAGTGCGGGTTTGGGGCGGAAGAAAAGGCCTGTTCAACTCGTTGATCCTGAACAAGTGGCTGTCTGGTGGAAATGCAAGTTCAGTGGGAAGTTCCAAACGTGATGCCGAGAAAACATGACCTGAGAAGCAGCTCAGAAGAAAGATCCTGCTAGGAAAACTTAGTGCTAAAATGCGCAGAGCTCTAGAGGGTCCTGTGCTGCCATCACTGCTGGTAGCGCTGCTGCCACGGTGATGGAAAGGTGGACAAAAAAGAGATCTGGGCAGTTCTGAAAGCAGTGAGGAAGAATGCACCGAGATTAGTTGCATTTCATTCACCTTGTCTTCCCTGTTTGGCAAATCTGTGCGGTAAACACGATCTGACAGCATTTTTCCTCCTGAAAGTGTTCCGTGCTCAGCTCCCTCCTAATGAGTCTTGACTTAAGTGGGTCAGGGCCTCAGGACTCATTACACCCTTTGCTCCTTTCCCCATAGTGCTGTTTTTTGGGGTTTTGCCCTGCTGAGAAGTAAGAAGGTGTCCCGTGAACACCCCTCTGCCTGGAAGCTTTTCCTGGGCATGTGCTGCATGGCGGGCCTTGGCCCCGTGTCCCTGGCATGGCTGTGCAGTGTGTGTGTGTGTGAATCCCCTGGCGATGCACGTCTCGATGTCAGTAGCTGCCTTTCTCGTCTAAATTCTGTTTTTCCCTTTTTCTGTCTGTAGAAATATTATGGTCTGGATACTAAGTGGGGCGACATCGAGCAGTGGATGGTAGGCCTCGATCGACGTGGTTACCCAGCTTTTACGTGTTGAACGCTTGTACGGTTGCTAGTTTGAACCCCCCAGTAGGTGTTTCCATACACTGGAAGCGTGAACTCCTCCCTTAGCACAAAGATTTTGGTTCAGTACCTGAAACGTGGCCTAACCAGAGGAAGGGTTTGGGCAGAGTCATCGATTCTTCCAGACCTCTGTCCAGACCCTGCCACCTGAAGGTTGGCCTACAGACCCCCTAAAGCCCCTCACACAAGGAATGTGTGCGCTTACTCTATTTCTTGTGGGGTTTGCTACAGTGTGAGTCTCTTCAAATCTGTCCTCGGTTAAATTTTGGGCAAGTTTTATCCGTGCTGTTTCAGTCATCCTTGTACTTATTGCTCCGGGAGCTCTCCAGAGCTGTGACCTGTGGCAACGCTGGCTTTTGCTGGTCCCGCTGGAGTTGGCTTGGCAGCTCAGGTATAGACTTGGCTGTTAGCACCATCTGACTTCTTACCAGCCCTGATGTGGGATGAAGGAACAGGGATGAAGGCCTTGACTTGGCGTGTCTGAAGTTCATGGCATCGCTTACCAGTGATGCTGGGTGAATCACACACGCTGAAAAAGGCAAAACGGAGCAGCTCCGCTTCCAGCGGGGAGGAAAACTTCCAAAGGCCCTGAGAGCCTTGCTAATTAGCCAGCATTAATGCTGGTTTGGTGCATGCCTTCCTGAAACCTGCTGTCACAAGGAGCAACATGAAGATGCTGCAGTCTCGCAGATAAGCCACTAAGTCTCTTCAAACCCTCGTTTGGTGAGCTTAGCTCCCTGCTACTAGTAATTCCCTGGCTTAGAAATCAGTTCAGACATGAGAACCCTTAATTATAATGCTGAAACTTTCTCCTCTCGTTTCCTACCACTGCTCAAAAATTCCATGTAAAATTAATTTACTGACAGGCAGCAAATGCTACAGCACTTTCCAGGTTTCAAAGGGCTGTAAAGCAGAAAGCTTAATTACAAGGGCCTGTGAGTACCCCGATTCCCAGTGCAGGGGAATGCACTCGATCATGTAAACAGATTTCTGAGATGCAAATAAGTCCCTGCATACGTTTCCTGCAAATGTAACAAAGTGTACAGTGAAATAAAAGGGAGGGGAAGAAAGCTGGGGTCACCACGAAGGGAAAAGGGCTTTTGGGATTTGACAAGGTGTCACCTTCCATTATGTGGCTTAACCTTCCTGACTCCTAAACGCTCTGAGCTTCCCTGTGTCTTTCTGAAGGCTCTGTGTCGGTGTGTCTGTCCTTTCAACACTTCACTTTTTGTTTTTCTCTGCTGCCTTGGTAGGAAGACAGTGAGCGTTACTCCCGTAGAGCCCGAAGAAATGCCTCGGTTAGTATTTGCTTTTGCTTTGTAGCTAAACGTTTCCCCTGAAGTAAACAGACGTATATAAGGCAGTTCCTTTTAGAAGGAAAAAAATAGAGCATCCCCTTCCCCCCTAGCTGAATAAACCACCAAAAACCACTTCCTGGCTGCTCTGCCCTCTCCCCAGCCACTCCGAGGAGCTTTTGCAAATACATGAGAATAAAAGGGGGGGCAAGGGATGTGGGGGAGACAGCCTGCTTGGAGGGTGTAATGTAAATTTATTCAGCTGTGGCCAAGAACATAGAACAAGGAATGGCCAAGCAAATCCATAATCACCCTGTAGTAAAATGCTTGGTAATGTTTCTTGGGCAGGGTATGATTTCATTTAGTTTTTGCTCGTAGCTTAACAAAATTCTTTTATTAGATATTTATTCTTTAAGCCTTTTCTGTCCTTCTGTCCCATCAAAGCCACCCGCATTTACATCACTGCCTGTTATTTCTGTTCTTTTCATTGGTTTCTTGTCTTTATACTTTCTTTTGCTAGGCTTCGGATGAAGATGAGCGCATGTCAGTGGGTAGCCGTGGAAGCCTGAGGGTTGGTAAATTGTACGATTTCAGTCTGCATGTGTGTGTATCGATGATGCTGTCCTCCTGTACCACCAGAGCAGTTATTCTGCTTTTTTTTTTTTTCCTCAATTCACTGAAAACATCTTCCTTCCAAAGTCATGCCACTGTCCGTGTTCAAGGTGCATGTGTTTCCCAAGAACATTTTGGCCAGTAATTCTTTGAACCAGGGGGTCTCTCAGATTTGCATTCGCTGATGAGGAACACAAGCAAAGAGTGTGACTGCAGATACCCTTCTGGTTACTGCTTCTCGCCGGTGCTGCAGGAAGTCCTCAGCCAAAATTACGCTCTGGGCTGCTATTTTTTGTGTGCACCGTGGAAACTCCCCTGCTTGTTTGTTGATACTGAGAATTTGGGAAGCAGCCCCGAGCTGAGCTGTGGGGAGGGAGAGCACCCAGTGCTAATCCGGAAAAAAACTTCAAATGCTTTTTCTCAAAATACCAGTACAGTGCTTGTCCTTACACGTGCTAGAGTTAAGATTTTTACACAATCAGCTCTTGCAATTGTGGAAGTAATTTAAGCAGTTTAATTCTGACCAGCTAATGCTGTTGGGGCAGCGTGTGTTGGTGGTCTGGAGCAGTGTTTGGTAGCAACACAACAGAAACAACCGCTAGTAACGCTGTGGAGGAAGTGCTCAGCACTTCTCAACGTGAATCAGCTGCTTCTAGCTTGTTACAGAGCGATTTGGGCCTAAACCAGCTGTGTTTGAGAATAATTCGAGCTTCTGTTGGTGTTCCTAATCCATCAGTAATACTGGTTACATGGTTTAGGCTGGATGGTCAGCTGTATTTTGTGCAGCAAGCGAGACCTGTATCGTTCACAGCAAGGTGTCTGTTTATTGTCCTTGGCTTCTGTGGAGGTTTTATTTTTCATAAAATTCATCTATTTTTTCTCTTTAAAACTCCTGTTAATAGTTATCTAGGGTAGAAGTACCCCTTTTTTTCCTAGACAGAGTATCTCCAGTGTTAAGTGAAATGCCTCTTGGGCTTCTGAAAGAGTTTTGGAAGATGGAAAAATAAATTATTGCTACTGTAGAGGCTGGTCAGCGCTTCCTGATTCTTAACGTATGTCACTGTAAGATAGCATGATAGCTATTTAAAATTTTTTGTGTTGCCTTCTTCCCTTTTTTCTTATTACTACTTAAGAAGTGCTGTGAAAATCTTGATTCTTTAAGATGGCAAACTTGGTCGAGTGCTTTTCAAAGCTGAGAGGAGATGCCTTAAAACTGGAAAGATTCAACGAAGGAAAGCTTATCTCTATGGCTGAACTTGAAAACCAATGATTATTTTACTTAAATTTGGACACGTTTGGGGGAGAAAAAAATGCTAGATCAGATAAAATTTCTTTTTTTTATACTCAGAAGGTGACTATGATGTAAGTTTGTTCAACCCTGGCTGGAGCTGTGTCCCCCTTCACGGGGTATAATGCAAGCACTTTGGCACTGTGTTCATCTGAAAGACTTCATGTCTTCATGGAAAGCCACTGGGGATTCCTTTGATGCATTTTGATGGTTCAATCCTACCCCTGCCTTTTGTTTTCATACATTTAAGCAGCAGAAGCCCTGCACTCTGTTCCCAACCATGCCTTGACGGAGCTTTTCTGATGCTTTTCCTGGAGCTGTCAGCGTGCCTTCAGGCCATGCTAACCACTGCTCTTCTGCTGCACAAGGATCTTCAGCTGGCTTAGGAGGTGGCCCATAAATACCCGATATTTTTGCAGAGAATGTCCTTTTCTGACAGACCCATCTGGCTGAAGCTTGACAGCCTGGTGTTTCACATGATGCTGCACAGACGCCCCCCTACCCTCGGGAAGCAGCACACTGACTATTGCTGTGCAAGACATCTGATATCTTGAGCACGCACGGGAGGAGTTTTGGCAGGAGCTGGGATAACTGAAGACTTCCTTCCCTGATGTCCAAATGTCACTGGGATTGTAGGAGAAAGGAAGTTGTATGTTTAGTCAAAACTGAAATTTACCCTCACACTTCATTTGGTTCTTTTATTCACAATTAAGTGACATTATTACCCTAATATGGATACACAGTAGCTTATTTTAAGTTTGACCACCTCTGTGCTTAACTCGTGAAGGTGTGGCTCCTACTCTGTGTGTTTAAAACAAAGCAAAAAAAAAAAATGAACTACTACTACAAATCACCTCTGAGGACTTCTGAGCTATTTGAGCATGAAGAAAGCACCAGAAACTGCTGTGTGGTGTCCAGGAAGGGTTTATAAAACTACACTCTTCTTTTCTGGACATTTGAAGACTACTTCCTTAGTCGTGGGATGCCACTATAGTTGGTCTGCAAGGCTTCCACTTTCTGAAAATAGATCCTGTGCCCTTGGCACCCCGGGTCGCTGTGAGGCTGGGAGCATTAGGAGTTACTCCTCGAAGCGATGGCTGTGTTCTGTACGGGCAGCTCTCATGAAATGGAGCAATACACATTTTTATATGCAACTTTACCTCCCTGCTAACCTGCCTGGGTTTTATTCTGAGTTTTCTCCTGGAATAATTGCGAGGTGGACATCCGAACTGCAGGCAGTGGAGAGCTGCTGAGCTGGGTGGTGGGGAGCTGCCCCGGATGCTTCTGGCACAGCAGCCATCAGCGTGGTGTTGATCAGAGCAGCCCTGCCAATTGATTTAAGCTCCACAGCAGTGACTGCCCTGTAACCAGCAGCCTGGTGGGTTGGTATCATGCTATCTTGAGCACCTCTATGCCTCCTGCAGGCTTTGACAGCCTTACCTCTGGCTTGTCGTGAAAGCATCAGAAATCTCCTGCCTCTCTCGTCTCCGAAGTCCCACAAGCTCAGTGCCCTTTTTGTAGGGAAGCTCAGAAACATCATCCTGTGTTTGTCGAGACACTGCTTTTCTTCAGTCAGTTTTCCCCTGCAAGCGTCCTTGTTTTCCCACTTCTCAGCTGGCTGTCTCTCTTGTGCAAGGCTGTCCAGCGTGAAATATTGCTGCAATTAGTCACTTGTGATGGAGCTTTTGCATGTTGCCCTGTTTTGGCCACTTGACAAAGTTCCTGACTTCTGGCTTTGTGCAAGAAGTCCGGAGTTATCAGAATTACTTATGTGGGATTTAAATCTTCTTGCTAATTCTTGCTGTAGGGGGGTGGAAGGGGTTGATTGCCACCGCTTGCTTTGGTGTTTTCCCTTGCCTTCTGATGTTTTGTTTTCTTCCCATGCCTTGACAGTCTCACTTGGAGTATGCCAGCACCTATCCAGTGGTGAGATTAGTCTGAAAGTTGCAGTGTGTGTTTAAAAACTAATTGCCAAGAATGAACTAACCTCAACTGTGATAGCTTGTGTAAGATAAGGGATGATCCAAAATGATCCTGAGGCATTTTGTGGTCCCAGTGGGAAGACCTTTTGCCTACCATTGGGATGCACACACCCCCTTCACCAGGGAGATCCAAATCAAGTCCAGTTCAGTAGTTATCATAAGACAGGACAGAAGCTTTTATTTCTCTGTTACTCTGTCCATCCTCTGACTGGCTCTGTCTAGATTTATGTCAGCAGAAACCCAAAAAGAGAGAACCCTCAGAAAGCTCCTACCACAGATCTGACTCTTGGAGGACCAGGATGAAGATGGGGACTTGAAGCTCAGATCTTTAAAAGTCCTCCTAGTGTTAGCAGTGCTGTCTTGTGTCAGTACTGTGTTGAAACGGAGGTCTCTATTCCTGCAGAAAGCAGCCTGGAGAGCAGTTTTATAGGCTCTCTAGCCTTTTTTTTTTTTTTATTATTCTCCTTCATTCCCTGCCCTATTTCAGATTAGAGATGCAATGAATCTGTTTGAGTGACCTATATACAAAAATAGTTCAAACACATTTGGATTTTGCATGGATCTATTGATGTAGTAAGTATAGACAGCTGGTAGCTCAATTAATTGACTTAACCTATCAAGCATGAATAATTTTAACTGTGGCTACTAAATTTAACAGTACTATCATCACTTTTAACAATACGCGTTAATAACTGGTCGTTTGAGTTGAGATTTGATTTTTTTCATATGTGCTTACTGAGCCATGCTCTGCAGAGCTGGAGGAATATTGGTCTGATGGTTTTGCTTGGTGGTATGCATGCCTGGCTCTGGATGTGTGCACATAAATTCATTGATCTTTTCACCCTGCATTCTTAATCTCACTGCAGGCTGGATTAGAGAATGAGAGGACCAAAAGGAAGAACTACTCCAAAGCAGTATGTATCTCAACCGTCTGTCTGAGGTTTTTACATACACAACGTAAATGTGTATGGGACCAGAGGATATGTGCAAGCATGTTGGCTCTTAGAGCTCCCCAGCCTAATGTCAAGGATACGCTGTAACTCACGGGCCTGGTTGGGTCTGCCCAAATACCAAGAATCTCTTTATCCACAAAATGTAGCGTAACCCCAACAATGATCTTGGTGTTGTACCTAAAGAGCCTCTTGGAAAACTCAAAACCAAACTCGAGCTTTAACATTTCACTGAAATAAGTAATATTGCTAGAAAAATACGTATAATAGAGGCTGCATCTTTCCATCTAAGGAGTAGTAATGTTTTTCATGGCTCAAATTAAGAGGTTAGCCCTGATTTATAGCAACATTTGAATAACTAGTAGTTCAGCAATACTTCAAGAGCACGTTTTCAGATTCAACGCATGCTACGTCTGGTAGGAGTGCTGAAGCTTGAACTGAGGAAACAATATTCAGGAGGCTGAGGCAGCTTGCTTAAATGCTGCCTTTGTCTCAGCGTCAGTAGCACCTTGTGTCAGAACAGATCTCGGAGCGCCTTTCAGATCGGGATGTTAACTGTTGAACACAGCACATTGCGAGCGGCAGCGCTTTCAGCCAGGTAGGTGCTGTCTGCTGAGATGATGAAATACCAAGAGAATTCAGCTGCCTGTTTCCAAGGGCAATTATTGTAATTACATGCTTTCCTTCAGTGCAGAGACACTTTGACACTTCCTTAGCTTATCGTAGGCTGGTGAGCAGCACTAGAGTTTCTAAGGCAATCTGAAGGTAATTCTTTGTACCAGCAGTACCTTACTAGCAGCTGCACCTATAGCACTGCACATTTAGTAGGGTCAGTTGCATAGTTCTGAAATGACAACAAATAAAACAGAATATTTCGGCCTCCCCAGTTTGCCACCCTATTTGTTTCGGTCTTCATAAAGGTTCTGATCAGATATTTAGCATGTTAGTATAGCACAGAACATAGGTTAGCAAGATCTGATAAAGCTCACCTTGCAGAGCTTGTCTGAAATGCTACATCTGGAGCATTTGCCTTCAAAAATCTGAGCTGGAGAGGAGGGGACAGTGGTCATAGTGGCGAAGGAAATAAAGGAAGTGACCTGAACTGTGGAGCTTCAGTTTAAAATCTAAAGGATAATAGGGCAAATTAAATTAGATATGTTTAGAAGTGTCTCATGAAGTGGTAGGCACTTAACCTGGATTTGTGAAAAATGAATCATGTCAATTCAACATAATTTCCCTAAGCAAGGGAATTATCTAAGGGCATAAAGGAAGAGTGCTGGATGAGACTACAACGTGACTGCAAGGCTTTTGGTATGCTTCTGCCTAACATTCTTGAGCGAAACGTTTGCCAAGACCAAGTTCTTGTAAAAGAAATGCAGTTAGTTGAAAAATAATCCCGTTGAAAACAGTGACAGCTGGAAGGGATCTCCTCTGATCTCTTCTAAGACAGCATCGTGGAGTTTTAAAGGGGAAATCGGTTCTCTGGGAGTCCGTAGTGCCTACTTGTCTACATTCAGGGAGTAAAGGGGGCTTCCTGCAAGGTTGGGATAAAAAATACCGATGGCGAGTGGGAGACAAGTTGCCAAAAGTGAAGAATGATAGGAATAAATGAGAAACATCTTACGAACTGGGGAATTAAATACCCTAATGTTAACTAGGGAGTTGTGCATAGCAGTCATTCAGATAATGATCCAAGAGGTTACATTTGGTCAAGATTGCCTTGTTGAAAAAAAGATGAACTTAATTCCTCAGTGTAGTAACAAAAGGAACGGCAGTGGTCATCAGCCCACGTGGGGCTGGGATCCTTGCCTTCAACTCCTGAGGCACTGTTTTAACTATTTTTAGGAAAGCATTAGACAGATTGGTGGGGCCTGAAGAAGGTAATAAAGCCAGGAAAGGCTGTGTAGGATGGCTGGTAGTGTTTCCAGACTGCTGGAGGGCCACTGCCCAGTTTCCATCTTCCATTTGTGATACCAACATTGCATTTCAGTGGAGAATCCTAAGCTTTGCCCAGACCTTGTCTGATGAGCTTGCATCTCAGCGGGTTTCTAAACTTGTTTAATTCTTTTATGAAAGCCACCGTATAGCATATGATTTATATGTATTGCTTGAAAATTGGTTCATAATTGGCTTAGTGGGCTTTCATTTCAGGAATGCAATACGATTTAGACTCAAGTTTAACTTGGAATAGAAATTCCAATCAAATTTCCACTTTAAACAAAAAAAAACACAACATCATGGAGAACTTGCAAATTTTTAATGTTCAATAAACCAGGTTTTATTGTTTAGTGATACCAGGATGGGGACTTGGCTGAGAAATCTGAGCTCTTAATGCTATCTGTTGAGGTATTTTGGGTCTATAATCACTTCTTCAAACGTTGTGTTTCCAGACTAAGAACAATCTGTGTTGTATTGATTTTTATTTTTATTTTTTATTCCCAACCTGCTGCCTTGCTCTTACTGACTTGAAATATTGTGCCCTGCTTGTAAATCACTCCTCCTGAGCACGTTTGTGTCTTCTGTGTTCAGAGAAAACTCACATACGACAACAAAACAGGCAGCTGAGCATGGCAGGGGACAACTGAACCAACTAAAACCCCTTGTTGGTCTGTGGGTTGCCATACAAAATGCTGGCACGTGGCAGATAGAAAATTAACCCCCCTGGCTGGGGTTAATTTTGATGTGATTTGGGAAAGCTAAAAAGAGGTTTCACGTAGCATCATGTGTCTCCTAAACTGAGTTTCTTTATCGTATAAGCTTAAAATTAAGTTTTTAGCTATAATCTGATGCTTTCGAGTTGCTCAGCTGCAAGAGGTATTAGTAACTACAGTTTTAAATGTATTTTATTATCCTCTCATCCTTAGTGTTCCCTTTTCATCCTGTGTTCCCTTCCCCAAAGAGTTTGAAGAGGTACAGGTGTTACAGAGCCGTAATAATAAGGGAAGCAGAAGTTTGTCTTAACAAGAAGAAAGAAAAGGGTCAAAAAAGGCAAGCAGGAGTATCCTTGACATTTTTGGCTGGCTTACAGATAGCGACAGACGCAAATGTTCATATCCTCGTGTTTGAAAGCATGACCTAGATCTGCACTTCTCCTGTTCCTGGTATATCTTTGAAAAGCTCTGTCCCTGCCTTTGCCCCTCGTAAACGATGGTTATCACAAAAACCTGGCTTTGGGGTCTGCATCAGTTTTCTCTTCTCTTTTTTTTCCTTTTCCTTTCTTTCCACGACAGACTAATGGTTATGAGGAAGACGCGTACGGATCGTCCCAGAGTAGAAAATCTAGCAGGGTTAGTAGCTGATTTATGTTGCTATACAATCTATCACGCTCTTTAATGGGATTAAATCTAATTAGCAAATTCTTTTCTGTGGTAAAGCAGGTTTTGCCTGTCTTGCGTGTTGCGGCTTTTGCAATTGCAGGCACAGAGGTGCAGCAAGAAGCTGTTTTAAAAATAAAAACCAGCAAAATTAGGCCATGAGTGGGGCGGGAAGCATCTGAGTTTGGCACAAATAGGACTTGGAAGCTGGCATTGCCTAACTTGTCACAGTTCAGCCTTACCTAAATGTGATTGCCAGCAATATTTCAATATTTTGAATATATGACCCTGGCACACAGGGTTTCCGTGTGTTGTGACTTTCCCAGCTCCTGCAACATGCCCAAATCGTGCTCCAGCACTGGGGCTCCCAAGCCGCAGGGAGTATTGCGCGTGCACAGAGCACTTGGGCTTTAACATTTTCCCCAAATTCATGTTGTTTATGTGAAGTTTGCTTAACACAATACTTTTTTTTTCCTTTATAAACCTCATTCTAGGGTTTCTGGCAGCTCCCCCGGAGGTGGCCAGCCAGTGGTGGTGTTCCTGCTTAGCTGTGCACCGCTGATGGGCTTCATTTCCAGAAATATTCCCGTGACAAATGCTTAATGATTAACTCCATTGTGTGCACGCCCGTGGCTCACGGCGTTCCCTTCTGTTCCAGCACAAGGGTTTTGTGGCAATTACAGGAACTGATTGTCCTGCTCTGTCAAATGTCAGCTGATGGGCAAAACCCTTCAAGGTGCTGTTGCAAGCAGAGCCCCTTTGGGGGCAGGAAGGGGAACTGCTCTGGGCTTTTTGCCTGGCTACAGTACGGAGCCTGTTGATCTTTACGTTATCAAGACTTTTAAAGCAATATTAAGGGTATGCAGACTGAAGCTCAGTGTTCAGGGGGAAATAAACTGCTATTATAAGACTTCCTTTAGCTAAGTGTCTCAGCAGGTTTCAATGGGTTGCTTGGTGAAGTTACATGGGCACTTGTATAAATAGTGAAACGGGACCGTGTGCTTTATGGCCATTTAGCTTGTGCTTCCGTACAGTTTTGTGCATTTAGCTTGTGCAAGTGGCTGAGAGAAAATGAAATAGTGTTGCTTAAGCTCTTAAGAAAGCAGCGTGTCCTGCTGTTGGCACTCTTGCTGACCTGTTTGAGTTGAAGGAACTTTATTCTGCAGTGCTTCTGACAAACGGCATTCTTACTCCTTGGTGACATACTCCAGAGCTCTGCGTCCTGCTCAAGAGCAAAATGTCTGTAGGAAAGTCATCCAGGGAAAAGAAGTGGGTTGCTTTCCACTGAAATAATTTAAAATCCTCTTGGCATTAGGGTTTGAAGCGTGGAGGCTTAACTGTACGTAGAGCAGAATTATGGCAGCATCGTTAGCTCCTTGTTTTCATTGCTAAGTGTATTTCAGATTAATCTTCATTTAGAAGGTGAACAAGAGTTTAGAGGTGACTTGGAATAGCTGCAAATCCCAAACCAGATGTTGCTGGTCTGGCTGACATTCACCTTTAGGACTGCTCTCTCCAAAAGCCCCAGACCTAACTGAAGATTGACGAAGTGACAACAGAAAAGCTGAGAAGAGGCAGAGCTTCGGAGTGTGGGAATCACTGAGCCTGCTGTCACCGCTGTTCCCAACCTTCGAGGAAAATGGAGCAACGTGTGCCTGGCAATCTGGCTGCCTTTGTACCCAGGGCTTGCAGGATGGCAGGTTCATTCCTTGGAAGCGAGCAACACCCTGTGCGTAGGTTACAGGTGTGCTAGGCAGGAATGAAAATCATTTCTTTAAGCTCAGGACAACGTGCTCAGATTTCTTCTGAGCAAAAGCCTTGCTCCGCAGGAAGAATAATGGGGTAGGAAGAGATCTAGCTTTTCGAGGCTGGCCAGTTACCCATCCTCCCTGCTTACCTGCAGGTGTAGCGTTTAATCCGCACATCTGTTTGCCAGCAGTGACAGACATCCAGCAGCAAGAGCAAAGAGGTTTCTTTAGCTTGCTGCAGTTCCCACGTTTGGAAGCAGAGCTGATGTCTGCTTTGTCTCCAGTACTGCTGCTTGGGTCGGTCAGGGCTCACTGAAAACAGTCCTTAGTTTGCAAATGTGAATATCTGTGCACCTTAAAAATGGATGTTTAAGGCAATGTAAGTTGTTCGTGGCATATTGCTGCCTAAAAAAAATCCTGTAAAGCAGAAATCTGCTATTTTTTTAGGTATGGTGCATCCAGAATGAATGATGCCTGACAGATAATGTTCCCAGTGCCTTGTAAAAACAGGTGGTGTCAGACAGGCACTGGAAGTCAAACAGGCGTTGGAAGTATACTGCTAAACACCCCTCCACTTGGCTCAACTCACAATGAACTCCATCCACGTTTTGGAGAACATATCACATCTTTTAAGCCCCCAAACCATCCCCTTACAGCACGTTGTCTTAGGGGCTGCAGTGGTGGGAGAGAGGAAGGAGCTTGAGGCTTTGAACCCTTCAATGGAAGACAAATCAGGCAGGTATCCTGTGCATAAGGTGCTGTAGGGCTGGAGGAAAGCTCTGTCTGTTGTAAAGAAATCTCTGCTGTACAAATGGAAAGGGCACATGGTTTTCACATCTCCTCATACCTTTAATGCAATTTCCTTAATGCATTTATCTTCTTTTTGCATCAGTGAGGACTGACTTCTTGCTGTTTATAAGCTCCTCATGTATTTTTTGCTCCCCACTTAAAGGAGGTTGAAGCCCTTCATGTTACTGAGTTCTGAAAGTTTTTTGCTTGTTGTCAATGCAGGCTTCCTACTATCCCGACCTGGGCCTCCACAACCCTGGCTATGCTTCCACATCTCAGCCTTCCTCCCAAAATGGAAATTTGGTCTGTTGCCCCCTGGTTTTGCTTGGCCTGGACTTCTTGTTGTGATTCCATTTGGATAATACAACCTCTCGTAGTTAGGAGCAAATCTGGACCAGTTGTCAAGAGTCTTTGTAGCTCTTCTTAGCAAAACTTCAACAACCAAAAAAAAAGAAATCCCCAAACTGAAGAAGACCTTTTGTTTAAGGTTGAAGCGAGTAATGGAAAGCCATTTACAAATGGGCAGACAATTTTCCTTTGGTGCTCCTCCCTTTCCTGCAGTTACTTTGCCTGCTTTTGGCCTAAATAAATTGGGCTGGAAAAAAATAAGGGAAATCTAAATTGACGCAAGTTCCTTACTCGATCTGGGGCAACTTCTCTGCTCACCTTGCCTGCCAAGCAAGCTTAAGGCATTTAAGATAGGACGAGCAAGCAAGTCACAGACAGCTGGAAGAAAACCCCAAAGCTTTAAAGTCCCCATAGAGGTTGGATTGTCCTCTGCACATGGCTGGGCCCGTGCAATCTGTCCTGCCTGGTGGGACAGGGGACCCTGGACCCATGGTGTCACCGGGTCGGTGGTGTCCCCAGGCTCACCATGGGATCCCCACCAGCATGGGATCAGGGTGGCTTGTGGGAACGTGTCCCTACAAGCCGGGCACTGCTGCTGGAGTATTGCCTGCACCTACTTACAGCACCGTGTGTGCTTCCCAACCTAAATCCCTGCATCGTGCAAGAGATGAGCACTAACAAATCACTTGCGGTGCGGTGTGCTGAGCTGAGTATCCGTAACTTGGTCCCGAGCAACTTGGGTCTACTCTGCCCTTTGGTTTAATAACAAAATCTGCAAGAGGTGATCTTTAAAATGGGTATCTTTAAACCTTTCTGTCTGTGCATGAGCTCTTTTTCTGCCCTTGGTTGAAGTGAGGAGAAACACCCTGTCTGCTGCAAACAAATGTGTCGGAGATGAGAACAACTTAACCTACAATGAAATCACGCTCTTGTGTTTCTGTATACCGTGGTGTCCTCCCTTCCTGTAGGAAACACACGTCTGCTTGGTGTTCTTAGTCTGTGCGAGATGAGATCTAATGCCTTTATGGCACAGCTGACTAATATTCTTTATACCGGGTTTCCTTCTGCTGCAGTGTTTTAATCCTAGTCTTCTGCCAGGCTTGTTAATTCTGCTCTAGGCCTCCTGTTTTCTGTTCCATTTTCTATGCAAAAAAACAGTTTTGTGCTTGTCTTCCTCAGCCCTCCTTGCTGTACAGCGATGCCCTGCCAGCCAGAAGTTACAGGGTTTGTGGTGCTCGTGCTCTAAACACAAGCGCTGAAGCTGCTCGCCTTCAGCCATGCCTACGTTGTAACCTCTGTCGTTCTCGTTGGACCCATGTATTCCACACTGGTGCCTCCTGTCTGATCCACCCGAGTGCACGCGTGCCATGCTGTTTGTACAGACGGGGGCTTGCTGACCCTTTCCTTTTACTCCTGTTGGCGTTGTGCAAGCAGTGCCCGGGGGTGTGTGGTGCTCCTGCTGACCTCTCTTTGGATGGAGACCTTCGTCTTCGTGTTGGCATACTACCCGGGGCAAGCAGGAGCAGGCCAGAGAGAGGCAACATCAATTCTTCCTGCTGGTGTAGCAGCTGACAACAGTCTGCTTCAAAACTTTCAAATTCCAGTGTTCTTGTGCCAACTTCAAAGCCGAGAGAAGCTCGTTTCAATTCTCACCACTTAAGGGCAGAATTTCCTCCTCCCTCTGTGTTTCCTGAGCCAGACACTTGCAGGGTAAACTGGAGGCGGACGGCTGTCTGGGAATATGCATCATGCATCTTCCTCCCTTTAGATTAATTGGGGAAATTGGCTACGAAGTGGGGTTCATCTGGCGTAAGTTTTTCCCACATTTTACAAGCCCCAGAAACGCAAATCAAACCTGTTTCAGCCATTTAAGAATTGATGTTGCCGGTTTGGTCAGAGGGAAGGTTACCAGTTGAAGCGGCGAGTGGGGGAGCTGCTGGAAATGCATGGGGGTGCGATGGGTGGGGGCACGGGGGGTTTGCACGTGCCTGGCACAGCTCCCCGGCTCGCTGACTTCAGCTCCGCGAGTTCTTCACTTGCATGCTGCTCGTGCTTGCGTGCGGGCGACGGCCCCGTACTTGCCCGTGCCCTTCATTTCCCCGTGCCCTGCACCTTGTGAGTTTGCAAAACCCGAAAGTAGGTCTTCGACTCCTGCTCTGACTCTGTCTTTTGGTTGTAGGCGTCTGTGTATGACGAGAGCGTTTACAGTGGGAGCCGTCGGTATAGTGCCTCTAGTTCTCGTGCTGTAAGATGGTTTCTGCATTTCCCTGTTGTCATGTCTCTGTCCTCCATTAACCCGTTTTTACCAGAACGCAGACTTTTTGTGGGCTGAGAGCATTTAAGATGGCCTGTGACAGATCGTAGCCTGCTGTAGGAGCGAGTACTGTTACCATCAAATCCTAAATCCTGACCCACGCCGCTCCGAGACTGGCTCCGGGTGGCACAGGCAGAGCCCAGCCCCTGCAGCCAGGGCAGCTCAGCTCTGCCTTTTCGCTTCATTTCCTGATAAAATACCTTAGAAAGAGCCTGGAAAGTCCCTTCCCTCTCTGTGAATTTGTCTTCTGCAGAGGGGGATTTATGTAGGTTAAAAAAGGAAGGGGTTCCCCAGCGCCACTTCATTAACATGAAGCACAGGAGCCGTGTGAGCGTACGGCCGGCTTGCTTTTGTCACTGGGGTTTATATCCCAGAGGGATGTAAAATGAACCACCAAGACCCGAACAGCAAAAAGCCCCCAGAACAAAGCAGTGATGTTAATTTAATTGAAAAATAATATTTAAAAAAAAATTACAATTATATTAGTGTGGAGGAGGAAACCAACTTTGACGAACGCTCCCTGAGCCCCGGGTTCCTGAGCTGTGCCGTGCATCCTGCTGCTGCCCTCAAGCTTCACGTGGCTTTTTGGTTCCCAGCGGTGCCTTGTTTGCATTTCTGGCTGTCTTGTGAAACCCATTGATAATTATCTGTTTGGGCTGCTCTGGCAGCCTGCAGTCCTGTGAATTTGCTGGTTAACGCCGCGCCGAGCTGGTTGTAATCCTCTGTTTGTACGGGCTGTCTTCCCGTGTTTTCCACAAGTCTCTCAGAGGCCCAGACGATTCGCTTCTGCTTTGGGGAGAAATCATTTACAGCGGGCTCTGAGCCCAAGAGCTGTTTGAAGACTTTTTCCCAGCCCCTGTCAGTGATCTGAGCAGGGAAGGCTGCAGACAGGATGCTCGGGAGCCTGGGCATGGCGCAGCCTCTTTCAGTGTTTGGTGCCTGCCTGAGGAAGAGCTGGACCACGAGGTTTTGGCCTCCAAGGGTTGGCCTGTTCCAGTGGCAGGAACCGAGCTGGTGGCTGCACTGGAGCCGGTTTTATGCCCTGCTTCCTCTGGTACCACTTATTGGTACTGCAAACTTAATTTTCATTTATATGAGCTGCTCTCTTAGCGTGGTTAAAGTTGCTGAAATCAGTCCTCCAGTAGCTGTTGTGGGCCTGGGTGTCTCGGGGCAGCTGGGGAGTTTTGGGGGATTCCCACAGCGGCCACATAGCTCAATGGAAGAAAGGGTTATGAGTACACACGTATAAACAGTCAGAGAGGTCTTCAGATTGCAGTGTTCTCATATCCCAGACACAAATGACTGAAATAAGCTCACCGAGGTCATCAGCAACAGAGCTGAAGCTGCCGAGGAGTTCCTGGTGCTTGCTCCTGGCCCCGAGCTGCCTCCTTCCTTGTCTCCGTGCCAGGTTCTGCACAAGTTTTGGTGCACCAACGTGGCCCTTCGCAAAGGCTCTGGTCACAACTGCCTTGAGGTAGTACTAATAGGAAAAATAACCTGTCTGGTAAACATCCAGTGACTTCTTTAACTCGGGTCTGTTCTGAATGAATCAAACTTCATACAAGCTCCTGCATTTTTCTATAAAATATGTTTCAGTACAAGGTTGAGTGCGAAGCTGCTGCTCTGAGGCCTGTGAACACGCAGGGAGTGGTTCTAAACTTACTGCCACGCTAAGTCCCAGGGCTGTGTCTTTGATGCTTTAAACTTTCATTTCCCTTCTCTGCTGCCACGGCGTTGTGACCTCAGGAAGCAGAGCAGCGTGTATGCGTTCCTTGCCCTTGTCAGCCCCAGCTCAGCCGCTCTGATACTGGCCTGAAAAGCTTCCTCTGGCAGCAGAGAGGGGCTGCAGGTGCTGCACGGTCAGGAGGGCGTTCAGCCCCTGCGATGGGCTCCGTTTGGACTCTAAGCACCACGTAGATGAGGTGGTTTTTCCTTTGGCTTTTGGAGCATAGATTTCTTTTGTGTGTGCAATGTTGAAGAAGGCTCACCAGAGAGCCTCGATGCTCCTGCAGAGTGGTAGGATCGAGCCTTTTGTGTAGCAATTGAGAGGTTTCTGATTTGTGACTGCTGTCTTGAGATATTTAAATAAAACTTACTCTGTGTTCTGCCATTTCTTATATTAAATCAAAGCTCTTTACTGGGTCAATCAACTAGAAGTACTGCTTGCCTTATTTTTTCAAATAACATCTGAAGTGTCTGTTCTTCGACCTTTAACTGCTCTTCCTTTGTTCAGCTGCATGTAACCGTTTTCGTAACTAACTTCAGATGCAATCCTCTCTTGCTTCCTTTCCCAATCCTAATTCTTTTCTCTCTTCTCTGCTTGCTGTTCCTGGTTCACCTGCGGCAGCCTTCAGAGTACAGCTGCTACCTTGGGTCAGGATCTCGGGCATCCTCAAGAGCCAGCTCTGCTCGAGCCAGTCCTGTGGTGAGCTCCTCTTATTTTCTTTTGTTCCTACACTGCTTAATTTCTCTTCTTCAAGGTCTTTTCTGTACAAAGAGGTCACTGTCGCTCATAAAACTGTTTCTGCCTGTATTAATTGGGCTATCTAGGCTACGCTAGGGACAACGAAGGATGAACCAGATGAGAAAATTCAAAAAATAATTAAAAAATTAGCAGTCACACGAACCTGGATTGTACCTCTACTGTAAACACACAGGTATTTGTGTAGAAATTACTGAGCTTAAAGCACATTGGTAAGCATTTTACGCAAAAGTTTGCGCACTGTTGATGGTTAGTGTTCTGTCACTTGGCTAAGAAAATCAGGAAGCCCTAAATCTCCCTGCAGCCTTCAGGTTTCTCTCCGTTCAGCAGTATTTTGGTGTGGTGGTGTTGCTGCAGGGCTATCCGGAGGCTGGACCTGAGCATGTTTGTTGGATTGCAGCTTACCAGGCACAGTAAAAAAGCTTACAGGAAACTGGTCTATACCAAGTTGATCTTCCCTAGCCAGTGCCTTTTGAAGCGTTGCACTGTTTCAGGAAGGTGTCCCAGTGTCCCAGCAGCATTCCTTGTAGTGAAGCATTGAAGTGGTGGTTCTCCAGGGACCTGCTGTGGATTGCCCACCACATCCCCAAGACACGAAGAGATGGAGAGGGCGATACCATAAATTAACACGCACAACGCGCCTCTTTAGTCATAACATCCCACTGCGGTGCTTGCTTTGCTGAGGAGCTGGAACTTAAGTGCTGTAAATGGTGCCTTGAGGAGTAATTAAAGAGGAATATCTGGATACCCGAAGCTACGGCAGCATGCAGCAAGGTAAGGTGCAGCGTGGAAATCCAGAGCGTTTCTCTGCAGTAACACCCGGTCTGCAGTTCGTATCTGATGTCCCCCATCACGTTTGTCATCAGGCAGGGCGCAGGGAAGCCTTCAGCTCATCAAGTGAGCCCCATCTTTTTGGGGGAGAAAGATGCTGAATAAACTGGGTTGAGCAAATGGAACCGATAGAAAAGTGCAGACGTCTTCCTTAAAGGCAAGGGTACATCTGCTTTTAATTTTTTTTTCTCCCTGATTTTTATCAGGTAACGTGTGGCAGCTGGTGAGATAAAAATAAATCAATATTTTAATTAGTCCCTGAGTCTGAGGGAGCTCTGAGTTCTTGCAGTATGTATCTTAAGCTGTACCGCAAGGCAGAACATGGAAGTTCTTCCTAAATGGCCTTGAAAACTGAATTTCAGTTATCCCCAAGGCAAAAAATAATTAGGATAACCAGGGATTTATTTCATTAAAGACCTTGAAGTGTAGGGCTTGGGTACCTTTACATTAACACTGGCTTCCACTGCGTGTGTTTTGTGCTCAGCCTGAGTCATGAGTGCAGGTTGCTTGTGGTGAGAACAAAACGCAGCTCGCCCCTTCTGGGAGCTGTAGGGGATTTTGTCCTCTCATTCTCTGCTTACAGCTTGGCCTGGCTGCACGCACGGGGGTGGGGAAGGCCGGCTGTGTCAGCACGGAAAAGGGAGAGGCACCAAGCGGAGTCTGGGCTGCGAGGAGACAACAGGCACCCTTATTTCTTTTTCTTTCTTTTAATCAGCGCTTTATGGCAGGGTGTGAAGAGCTGCCGGTGTTTCTGCAGCCTCGAGGGGCAGAGCGTTAACATCAGCAGGTCTGAAAGGCACAGGGCTGCAGGGACATCAATCCTCCCGAAGGTACAGGGCTGTAGGGACACCGAGCCACCTCCTGCAAGGCAGAATGAACCTGGTGCCCTACAGCCACCACAGCTGCACTGCAAAGCCACCTCCGAGATAGTGCACTAAGTCATTGCAGCACCTCCTGACCCCCGTTTTTATTTATTCCACCTACATTAAGCAGTGCCTCGGTCCAGTGGTGTGCTTGGGCTTGGCAGCGGGGTGCTGAAATTGAGCCGTGTCTTCTCAGCTGGCTTAGCAGTGTGTCGCTGCCACTCGCACGGTCCCAAAATGTCATCTGCTCGGGTTGCCTAGAAGAATAAAGACCTCCTTGGGCAACCACGATAACTTCTGAGCGGAAAAATGTGATTGTTTTGGTCTGTAGCAGTATTTAATTATCGCCAGCCCATAAAAATGAGCTGTTCCCTCCCTTGATATATCAAGCCATATGCTGTCGTGGTTCTGCTTTATATATGCTCTGGCATTTACACACTTAGAGAGTTGACTCCAAGTTTATTTCTTAAAGGGCTGGCGGAGGAGGAAGGAAAAGGGAGTATCTGTTGGGTTGAAAAAGCTGGATTCCCAGCAAGCTTATGTCACTTGATAGTTTAAAAAAAATCTATGTACTGTAATAAAAATTAGGAGTGCTTAACACTGAAAGTTAATGATTTTCTTGTGGTTTTGGGTGCGCTATGGGACAAATGAAACCAAAACCAAACAGTTCCCTAGCTTGATTAACTGTCGTGAGAAAGTAGATGAACAGAACAGAGAACTTGTCAGCCTAACTTTCTAAATTAAAGCCTGTGATATCATGTCACTCCAACCCTTAAATCTTTTTTTTTTGGAACTGTTTCTCCCTCTGTCATTTTTGATGAACAGGAGTCCTACCTGCTGCACGCAGCTTTGCTGACTTGGGTTCCTGTTTGTGCTGTGCTGTTGGTAGCACAGCAAAGGCCAGGAAGATGCTTAAGCACAAGATGTAAATACACCTGCCTCAACTTTGACATTTGATTTTTGGTGCAGTGCCTGAACATTTTTCCCATTATTCCCACCAGGAATTGCTGTCTGCTGCCTTTGCACCTATAGCAGATATGTGGATGTGTCAAGTTTAATATTAAAGCATTATACTTCCTATTAAATGCAGATCTCAGGACTACTGAGAACAGCATCAGTCCCTCCTGTACAGGTGGAGGTAAACTTTGTGCCTGAGCTACTGAGATGAGCTTTTTAATGCAAACTGCTGGAGGTTTTTTTCCTTAAATCGATAAGCTGGTAGCAAAAAGCAAGCATTTCTGTATTTGAAATAGAGCCAGAATGTAAAGATTTACATGAGGCTTGTATCCTGTAGCACTGGAGGGAGGATTTTAAAGGCTTATTGCTGGTGTTAAGGTGGCTCTTGTGACTGGGAGAGCATGCAGGAGCTGCTGGGTGCCCCAGCCGAGCCGACCGAAGGGCTAAAGCTGTGATTGTGTGGGCTGCCTGCGGTGCTGCTTTTTTAGTTCCCATCCCTGCAGATACCAGCCTCTGCTCAGCACTATCCACTGCAATAACTTGTCTTTGGTGTGGGCTAAGTTTTCATTTCAAGAGCAGGAAACGATCTTAAATAGATGTGACAAGAAAGACCTTGCTTTTCTGAGCAAGATCCTCGCTGGAGCTGAACAGCGATAGCCACGCACTGAGCACGCACAGCAGCAGCAATCTCATATTTAGCTTCTCTCAAGCTTGCTTTAGGAGGCTGGAAGCTAGACAACGTGTTCTAGAGTCCTGACTCTTGCTTTGATTTCAAGATTCGTGTTTTTTCTCTCCTGGATGCAGCTGGGATGCAATGCAGAACTGTCCCGGGGTGTCAGGGCTTTGCAGGAGGTGTTCGAGTCAGATTGTGACCTGGGTAATCTGCTGGTGGCAAAGAGCCTCAAGGGTTAACCTGCCCATGGAGGAGGGAGAAATACTTTTTAAGACATTGTGCTAAAATGTTTTTATTATCTAGGAAAAATAGGCGATAGAGCCTTATATAGGCTTGTAGGATTATTCTGCTCTCATTAAGTTTCCAGCTGCGGTAAGCCTCTGATAGTGCTGACGTGATGGCAGTGTGGCTCGGGTTTTAGCCTGAAAAACTTTCAGAAGAGGCTGAACTCATCCCATTGTAGTTATTTTTGCAAAGAGCAACGTAGTCCCCTTGCCAAAACAAAGATGTGCGTGCTGGAAATCCTCTGAAAATTGCATCCTTTTCCTTTGTTTTTATATACCAAAGTACCAAGTGCCCAAATTGTTGGCAAGGAAGAAGGTAATGCAGAAGGACAATGTTCTCTAAATTAAAGGTTGTGTATCATTAGCTGAATTACTCCTCATTTCTCCTCTTCTAGCAAGTATTCTGTTAGTCTTTTAGATTTTGATACAGAAAACGAATGAAGGGCTACGCTTAGTACCATGAGAGCAGAGAGGTTATTCTCAGTGTAATTGCCATAGTATTCTTTATTGCATGTTTATACAGAAGGTAAACATTTTGGACCGTAATTTTGTGTGGCTTCTAATAAAAATAAACATTTCTTCATGAACTTTCTTTGATTTCTTGCTGGATCATCTGCCACAGGGCTCCTCGGAGAGTGGCTGAAGGCTGAAAACCTGGGGTTCCCTCTGGTGGCTGAAAAAGAGAGCACGATTTCTGTCTTCAGTGGAGCGATGCTATCACTACATTCATCTTAAAAAGAGCAGAATGAAAGCTACATAAAACATTCATATAAAACAGATCAATTTTTCTAACATTAACATTGAAAGAAATCACCAGTGGTTCTTCCACTGAGAAGATAATGAAATGCTCTGGGTGTTGCTTGGCACCAAATAGATGCGTGTAGCAGAGCATCACCAGGGAAGATGAAACTTCCTAGAATTTTTTGAAACCACACCAATTTTAAAAGTTATTTAATATGTTTGATTGCATCCTCGGAACTGCTAGGGGTTGTTTTGCAGTGAAAGTGCAGCTGGCTTCACAGGTGTGGTAATGTAACAGTAACTTTAATGTTTTCCCTGTTGTAAATAGAAGCTTTTTTCTAACTCAAGTGATGGATAATTAAAATAATATCAAGATTTGTTCTCTTCTTCATCAAAAACATTTTTCCATCTACATTCCACAAATCATTGAAGGCAAGTATTTGCAGTTGTGCCCTAAACCCATAACACAGGCTTTGCAAAAGGCTGGGCATAAATTCCTGGATGTAAAGGCCTGTGTGTGTGTGTGTACACTGCTCTGTAGTAACACACCAATGTTTGTACTGCCACAACTTTCTTGTTAAACAGCCACCTGGTGTTTGGCAGGGCCAGAAGGCTGCCAAATCCACCCCTCGGAGCTGTCTGGCATGAAATAATAGGGTCCTGCGGGCAGCGTGACACACGACAAGTAGGGTCATCCACACGTTGTTCTGTATAATTCAAAAGGGAAAAAAAATGATGAATGTTAACTGATTGGAAAGAGATGGAGGTTTCTGAGTGTTCTTTCAAATGAAATGTGTTAACTTAACCTCAGCAGTGCCCTGCCTTCCTCTGGAGCAGATCCGTGTTGGTTTTTCAGTTGTTTTACAGCCACTGTTCTTCTTAGCTCTTAGGCTCTTGATCTGGGTAAGCCTTTTGTTTTTTAAAAGTGTTTTGTGAAAACATCTTGAAGGGATGCCCAGGTTGCGTGTGGTTTTTGCTCTCTCTTCTGAGCATTGAAGTTGTCTTGATTCGTGGTAACTTTCTGTACTCCTAAATCCCACTTTGGCTCTGATTTATTTCTCCTTGGCCAGTGTTAGCGCAGGATCCAGCTTCTGAATCAGTAAATTCCAGGGAAGTGCCGAAGTCACAGACTGGCTGTTTATTTAGACTTTGCACCGGTCCCACATAGAGGCTTCAGGGTCAGTTTCTGCAGCCTCGGCCTTGCTGGGCTCTTTTGCTTGAAGTCAGTCACTCTTTGACACGAGAAGAGAACACTCAGTGGAAATCTTAAGCTTTAGACTTCATTTTTCATAGTTTTTTTTCTTCTCCTTTTGGGAACAGTGCAGGTTCGGTATGGTCCTTCAAACTGAACTTGACGCTTTGCTTTTGTGAACGGGGGAAGGAGCTGCTGGTAGGTTTCAGAGGTAGCTGATTTTATTTAAGGGCCATAAAACTGCAGCTTCAAGAAGGTGTCTTGGTCTGGAAGTCTCTGCAACCTTCAATTAAACAATGGTATGATCTCTCTACTTGAGTAAATTGCTATTTCGAGTTCTTTTGAGGCATGGTTTTAAGTTTTCCTAAAAAAAAAAAATAAAAGCAAATACAAAGATAGCATACAGTTGTTCTTATGTAGAGGAAAAGATTTGGAGGTTTGCATTCACATCCATGTAGGATTTATATGCCTTCATTGATAACCTACAGATAACTGTTGTCTTAATGTTGAAATACTGTGATGTAGATAAGGAAAAACGTGTTCCTCTGTCTTATCTTACAGACCTCGTAGGTTTTCATCAATGCATATATTCCAGGGAGTGATGTACTGCTTGGGGACTCGTGGTGATTCGTCCTGGCTTATGCCCTGAAGTGCTGGCCAGGACATTGCTGGCTGCTTTTTGAGCACATAGAGATTGCTAATGAAAAGTCTCTGAAAGGTTTTAGGAATTCCCCTTCTGATATCATAGTACCTTCTCCTGTCCTTTATTATCTAACGATTCCTTCCGAACCTCTGTTTTACAGATCGAGGAAAGGCCAGAAAAAGACTTCGAGAAGGTAAGAAGGATCTTGTGAATTACTCTGATTTTTTTATGTTTTTTTAAGGTAGGTAGAACTTGCAGTGAATTTAAAGAAATCTTCTAGGAAGCCTACTGTGGGGGCAAAACTTTGAATTATCAGACCTTCTACTACTGCATTTATTGAACTTTAAACATGTGTGTGTGTGTGTGTGTGTGTGTTCAGAAGTTATAACTGATATTCAGCAGTACTTGACTGAAGTTGCTTTAGGCTAAGCCATGTGAATACTGGTTTTGTTTGTAGAATTTAAATGTAATATTGTGTACAAATTAAAAAAACAAAGTGATACTGCATTAAGTGGGAAACTGGCTTCACACAGAACCCTTAGTTCTCTAAAAACAGTGTGGCTACTGCTGCAGAGTAAAAAAATACAAATGAAAGCAAGACGAGTTTGAAGAGTAGTAAAAAACATCCACAAAATATAATAATGCAAGTTCTTAAAAATATCTGGCAAGATGATACTAAGCCCCTAAAGATTTTATCTAATTTAGAACTAATACTTAAATCTAAGCTGTGCAAACTGCTGTTACAAAGGTAAGTGTTTACATCTGATTTTTCTCATTAGTTTCCCTTGGTGAATCTTGATCTTCTGATTCTTCTTCCTAAGAGGTTATTTAATCAAGCTTGTATGATTTGGAAGTGCAAGGGTTCTTTTTCTGTTGCCTTCCCTTGCTGAAGAGCTTGCAGGAGCAGAGCAACAACAGCTCCCGTTCCCCTGGGTTTGTTGTTAATACTGAATTCTAATTTTTTCTGTGGCACCAGAGGCCAACTAGGAATTAGGATGACCTAAAAGCCACAGACTTGCCCCTGGTTGTGTTAGATGCCTAGATAACAATTGCTGTTAGCTGTTTTTCTCACGTTTTAATTTGGGACTGCTGAAACTAACACAGAAATATTGTAACTCCCAGGAACACAATTAATGTTTTGTCATTTGTCTATATCAGTAGGTCAACAGTCTATGTTGTGTGTAATTATTTTTTTAAACCCATATGTCTAGGAAAAAAATTACAACCATTTTAAACTGTGTAATTCTAGGGAGCACGGACCGTCTCGAGTTTATCAGCAGCTACGTTAGCTTCTCTAGGTGGGACATCTTCACGAAGAGGCAGCGGGGATACGTCCATCTCAGCAGATACGGAGGCATCAATTAGAGAAATAAAGGTGAGGTTCTTAAAACCAGCACAAACCGTTAGGAATCTTTTAACTATGGCACTTTTTAAACTTCTGTCCAAGAAATTTCATCGTCTGGCAAGGCTTCAGATTAGGATCAGACTGCTTAACCCGTGTGGTAGAAATATTTAAATGAGAGCCTCAAATATGAATAATTCCGTATCAGTTGTACTTTTGCCCCTTAGGTTCAGTGACATCATTCACCTTTCTCACCATTTCTCTCAGGATATCTATGAGTTAAAGGACCAGATTCAGGATGTAGAAGGCAGATACATGCAGGGACTGAAAGAAATGAAGGTACTGCTTCACTGCAGAGTGGAAGTGTGGTAATTAACACCAGCTAAACATTCACAGAGCCAGTGTGAGACCTAGAACTGACCTTGCATGCTTTTCTTCTGGGGGTGGTTGTAAACTGTGTGGAAACATTTCATTAGCTGAAAAAGTAGCTGTCCTGGTGTCTGAAGGTGGTGAGCAGTGCTTCCAAGTGTGGACTGAAGGACGGCTGATTGCTCTTGCATGTCTGTCTTGCTGTTTTGAGAAGGTAATTGTTTTGCTAGCAAATTAAAATTGCTATCTTTTAAATTGCTTTGTAAGGAAACCTCCCAGAATTGGAAGACAAAATAAAACACGTGGCCTACAATGCCATGAAAAATCATACAATATTAAAAGCTCAGATGTTCTGCTTACATTTTCATTTGAAAAGGTCTGGTGTGCCTTTGGAAAGTTGCACGTGTGCAGCACTGACTGGCATTTGGGTTTCATCTTTAGATCACAGAAAAGACCCTCAATACTTGTAATAAAATGTTGTGTAACAAAACTCATCTCATGAAAAGCCAACCAATGCTTACAGCAGCTGGCAGGAGGGAAGCACTTAGCTCTTCCACAAAGCCATAAATGAGTTTTGGTGTCATGCATCAGCATAACATCATGTGCTAAGTGAGGAACAGCATTAGCATTAACATTTTTGGAAAAGTTAATTTTGCAATGGTATAGATAGACACCAAGCATGTAGTGCAACATTTATTGGTGTGAATTACTGTGTTTGTCATCAGCTTAGTGCTGCAACAGGTGCAGTTACTGCCATCTTATGAGTTGTGAATGGAAAAAAGAGTAATTTGGCCTTTTTTCTGTAAAGCTTGTTGTTTTTTTCCCTGATCAGTGTGTAGCAGATGTAGCAAAATAGTCACAGTACATAAAAAAAAATGTAGGTCTGCATACCTTAAACTGCCTTTTTGTGGTGGTTTGTACCTAAGCCACACTGGGTTACAAAGGTGGTCTTTAATTCTGGCTTTGGTTTGGTGTAAAAGAGTGTGCTTAATGTCCAGGGATAGCTCAGTGCTGTGGTGGAACCTGATGCTAATAAAACAGAACTCAGCATGCTGAAGGAGTTAACTTCTTATTTGCATATACTTCCTTTCCAGCTCGTTTCTGATATTCAGTCCCACCACTGGTGCCAAATTCTGACTGCTTTCCTGTGCTTAATATTTCTAATACTTAGGCTGGAAAGTGCACCAAAACACAATTTGTGTTTAAGAACATGAATTTATACGGGTCTGAAGACAAATTCTCTTATTTGTCAATAGAAAACAAACTAAACCAATTCAGGCTTAATTTCTGTGATCATTTCATCACTCTCATCCCCTGTTCTGTTTATGGACTGGAAAGGGAGTTATATGAATCTCACCTCTACTCTGTGCATCATTCTAATATTACTGAAGTCCCAAGAGAAACTGCTTGATGTGTGAACTGAAATACCAACGTGTTTGCATATTTGCACTGTTTTGCCTACGTACGTCCTTTATTTCTGGTTTAAAATCAAACACTGCAAGTTTGACTGCATGGCATGGAAGATGACCCAGAGCTTTTTGTCATTGTTGTTATAAACCTCTCACTATCTTATATTTGTTTCACATGGATGGGGAGGGTTTTCAAGGCAATGGGGGTTGTTTCTTAGAGTGAATTTGTAAAGAGGGAATGCGATATAGGAAACCTAATGAAAAATGATGCATCAGGACACAAAAACTGCAGCTTTCACTGCAAATCCCAATTCCTGAGTTAGTGTATTTAGTGTCTCCTACCTCACTCTGAAAGGATTCCTGAAATCTGTGTGAGCTGACTGCTAAACCACCTTAGGTTAAAGCCTAGCTCATTAATGCTGCACTACCTAAACTGATCTTAAATCAAGGCCAGTTTACCTTTAAAAAAAAAAAAAAAAATCCAACTTGTCATCTTCAGCAGCTGCTTTGAGCTGCCAATGTGCAGGGGCAGGGGGAGGAGGGAGAAGGAAGAAAACCCTGAGAAAGCAGGAGCTGAAGCGGCAGAGAACAGGAAGCATTTTATCCATCCGAAGGTAAGGTTTCTTGTTTGCTACCAGAGGGCTTGCGGAAACACAAGGGAGGTTATCCTCACCTTGGGACAGTTGGTAAGGCTCTCCTGCGCGTGGTTAGCACCGGTTTCAGCAGGAATGCTCAGGAGGTTTGTGGTTTAGCACTTTGTTTTCTTGTTCAAGGTCTTGGCTGGCAGAGTGTGTGTAACTGACCTCTGACTGTGGATGTTTATTCTTTGCAGGACTCTTTAGCCGAAGTTGAAGAGAAATATAAAAAGGCTATGGTGTCAAATGCTCAACTAGACAATGAAAAAACAAATTTCATGTACCAAGTAGATACCCTGAAGGATGCCCTGTTAGAGTTAGAAGAACAGCTGGCAGAATCCAGGAGGCAATATGAAGAAAAAAGTAAAGTAGGTATTTAGCTGTGGCATGTTATTTAACTGCGAAGGATTTGGGGAGGGGGGCAGACAACTTTGGGAGGAGACAGCCAAATTACTCTTCAAGACTTTTAATAATTTTTGGTTTAGTTAATGTTAAAGTGAGTGGAGTAGCAGCGTGCTATGTGTTTGTGGTCATACAAACAAACTTTTTAATGAAATGTCTGTTTTATAAAGCAATTTCTGAAGAAGTAAAAAAATGTTTTATATGGTAAGGATATGCTGATAGTATCATATGTCCTTTGACATTCCATTTTTGAACTGAATTCAAAGGTTTTGTTCAGAGTGACTTCTGGAGGTTTCTTTTTTTTTTTTTTACTTCCAGAGTATTTTAATGCATGAAGCTCTCTTCAGAAGAGAGTTGTGCAGTTTACATAGTTCAGGCAGCTATGTGGCTGAGTGCTGAATTGCTTTATGTGAATTCAACATCTCTAACACCTAGTGAGTTGGTGTTAAACCTGTGGCCTACTAGCTTCTCAGAATCAGCTCTTTAGCTTGGGGACATTTCACTATAGCACACTGTGAAACACATGTTTTTTGGAAGATTTGGTAGTGTTTTTTTGTTTAACTCCTTAATTTCTACCTAACTTGTTTAGTGCGTTATGTCAAAAGAGCAGGTTGCGTTCCCATCCATTCTTCTGTGAAGTCACTAGGACTTGGGTGTATAAGCCACTCACTGGCAGCCTGCTGCTCAAATTGTGAAACTGCCTAAATGAAGTCTGTCACTTCCGTATTTGGTGGAATAATAATTTCTTGGAAAAACGACAAAACAGACTTAAAAAAAAAAAAAAAAAAAGTATTCTTTTGGGATTGTGATTAGAAGCATATTCAGGAATTGAATTGTGGCAAGCATTTTCTTTGTGCTAGGACTTAATTTCTTCTGTTTTTCTTGGATGCTATTTCTGATCAATAAAAACCTCATGAATATTTCATTCACAGGAATTTGAGAGAGAGAAGCATGCTCATAGCATATTGCAGTTTCAGTTCATGGAAGTCAAAGAGGCTTTGAAGCAAAGAGAAGAAATGCTTGCAGTAAGTAACTTCACCTTGTTGTTGTTGTTGTTTAATGACTTTGATTGGTGTGTTCCCAGTTAGGTGTGTAGAAGGTGAGGCATAGAGAATTTTATTCCCTACTCAAATTTCTCACCTGAAGAAATACTCGTGTTTCAGGCCAAACAGGTTTAGAACTGACTAACAGAAATAAGACTTTCAAAAGTATTATCTGAAGATAGATTTCCTTTTTTCATTGTCCATAAACATGAAATATTCTGTGTTTTCGACAGCTGTTAGTGGAGATGTAGAGGAAATATGGAACCATCTAACTTTGTAAGTCACCTTTGAATAGTAAGATTGTCTTCAGAAGTGTAGATTTAGCTGAGATGTCAGAAACCATGAAATTGTGTATGTAGATAACCTTTTACTTCAGCACCTGACTTTTTTCATTCTTTGACATCACTGCAATCTTGACCATCTTTGTTAACCTGTTATCTGCTTTCTGTCTTCTTCTTTTGCTCCTGTCTCTCAGGAAATCCAACAGCTGCAACAGAAACAGCAGAGCTATGTCAGGGAAATTTCTGATCTTCAGGAGACAATAGAGTGGAAAGACAAAAAAATAGGGGTAGGACTGTCAACTCCTGAAATGTTTTCAGAATGGCATTGTGTTCTTGAGCTGATACTGCTTTTGTAAAACCTCACGAAGAAAATCCTCCTCAGTGGCTTTGCTTGGTGTGGCTGTCTTAGTATATTGCCAGTGAACTAGCAAATAGTAAACTTTGTCTTTGTTCAATATTAGAAAATCCAAGAAAAACCTAGCAGCTGGTCAGATTTCAAAACCTGGGATAATTTATCTGCTGTGGTGCTCCGTTTGTGTATGCTATATTGAGAAAGGAAGTGCTATTTATAATGCAATTCCATCAGCACTGACTTTTTGCTTATTCAGGTTTAATCTGCAGACTGAGCAGAAACCGGAGTGTGATTAAGAAGTAACAGAGCTCTTTGTGGCCTTTGGGGATGAAAGTCTCTAACGTTCCCTTGTTTCTCATCCTTTCCCACCACCTCCTGTCAAAGCCAAATACAAACCCACTCTTAAAGAAAAGCATGGCTTTCTTTTCAACAACAAACATTGAAGACTTTCTGAATTTAGAAGGGGAAAGAAATCTGGCAGTTCATACGTGTTTGTGATGTCCAGTAACTTCTAGCAATTTGAAACTAAAGTGTGTGATTTTTAGTTATTGTGCGTTTATAGAGAAATATCGGGGGGTTCAGTACTAACATTTGCACTTGCACATGGTACATCCCAGAGTTTAAAGATAGCTTATTGGCAGTTTTCTGGTTAATTGAAACGTGCTGCACCTATTACAGTAACCCATGAAATTAACAACCCATAATAGACTATTAAAATGTCAGGCCTGCTTTCATGCTCTTCTGTTAGCACATGGGACTTGCGTACTACTTCAGCATGTATGCTGGATATGAATTAACTCATCCAGCAGATAAGAATGGAAAGTGAATCCTCCTTTGAAGGATTTTTTGTGGAAGCTCGGACTTTGAGTGTCTTCAGTAGGAATTCCTGGGACTGCCTGATTATTGAATAAGCTGTGAATTTCTTGGATTTGAGGCTTATCTGTGTGTATGTAAACTCAATTCTTTAATCTGTGAACTTTACCTTTTTCACACATGCCACTTCCATGAATCTCTGAATATCTTAAATCTGCTCATTCTTGTTGACACTTGCTTTTCATGCTCTTTACTTGTCTTCCTTCCTTTCTTCACATCTCCTCGCCCTCTGTTTGTGTTGGGAATTCAGGCGTTAGAGAGGCAGAAAGATTTCTTTGATTCCCTAAGGAGTGAGCGGGATGACCTTAGAGATGAAGTGTTTGTGCTGAAGGAGCAACTGAAGGTATGCAAGAGGAATAAGAAAAACTTGTATTTAACTGCTGACTTTTACCTCCTGTACGTTTTTGCAGAAAAAATGAATCCAGCTCAGTACCAAGGACTCTATTTTCCTAAGTTGCCAGTTCGGGAATTTTCTGATAGTCCTTCACCCTAATATCGATCGACTGTGAGCTCTTAGTATAGACCATAACATTCAGTATTAAATTGTTGCTTTTATAGGAGACGCATCTCCGAGGAACACTTTAAGCAGCAGATTTAAGTTTAAAAATAAACAAAAAGAGCTGGTATCACAAGCTTTCTGTGATGCTGGCTAATCAGAGAACTGTAATATTCTGTGCTATTTTCTGACTTCCAGCCATTTTTAATGGAGTGATTGAAGTGATTGTTTATTCAGAATGTCAAAGACAAGAACATCTGATCGAGCAGCAGGCTTTAAAGTGTTGCTTTTGCTTCTCCGTAGAAACATGGAATAATCCCAGACTCTGACGTAGCTACCAATGGGGAGACATCTGACATACTTGATAACGAAAGACACTTGGATTCTTCCAAAACTGCTCAAGGCACAACGCAGGCGTTAAAGACAGCAGGGGACGGGATGTTAGGTAAGTGCTGCATATCCTTTCCTACCTTTCTGTCCATCTGTCTACTCATTCATCTTTGCTTGGAGTTTGGGCATTTGTTAGTGGGACAATTAACACATCACGCGCAGCATGCTACTTGTTCAATCACTTGTGCATCACATCACATTATGCATTTTTCTGCTTGATATTTATTATCACTCCGAGTATGTTGTGCAGTTTCCTGCAAAGGCAAACTTCATTCCCCATTCAAGGTGACAAAGGACGAGAATACAAATATTACATATTATAGATAAGTAGCAATCATTCAGATTACTATTCAAACCCTGAGTTTGAAAATTGTCCCAGAGTAATCCTGCTGTTGCTCAATATTTTTCTGCACGGACTTTAAAGAATCAAAATAAAAACATTTCAGTTTTACATGAAGAACTTGTACGCTGGTTCATTTATATACCTGAAAATTATCAATGATTGCTGAACAGTGCTGGGCACTGTTAAAAAACACTAGTGCATGAATTCATTGTTCTTGGTATCTAGTACTGCTGAGCAGTTAATGTTACCAATTCAACATCTGTACTTGTTGTAACAGGAATAATGCCATTATATTCAAAGAACATGACTGTGAGATGGATAGTGTTAGGAAGCAGAAATCTGGCTCACAAAAAAAAAACTTCCTCCTTAGGCAGTTAGGATGAATGATCACTCAGAGAGCTACTATACTAGTGGAACGAAAGGGAAATCATTTTTGTTCTTGCTGCTCTAAAATGACATACTAGTAAATAGCAACAGGCAGCCAACCATTGCAAGTGCAAGTTATCTTGCTTTCGGCTGTTGGCTGCTTTTTCCTCACTCAATTTTTGTGTGGAAACAATATGAAGCACCAAAACCAAGGTAAGGGCAAATTTTACATGCAATGTTTTCTATCTCTCCTTGTTCTGTTTTGCTTTGTTTTGTTTTTTGGAAGCAGGTACACCATAGACCCAAAAGCTAACTGCTGAAGCCACACAAAAAACATTGTTTTAATACCTGTTGCTCCTAAATAACGTTGGAAGAAACAGTGCTTAAAAAGAAAAACAAAAAAACACAAGTCCCTTTCCCTTGAGAGGATGAAGTGGCTCTAAGGGGCACTAAGTACTTGATCTTTGATCTGTGTTGGTAATGTTAAACAACTAAAACATTTGCTTGCCAATCGGATTTTATATTCGCAGTCCTTGGCATATCCACATAAACACTGATGATGCCTGTTTATGATCTTAGGAGTAAAATATTACTGGGTAATCTGCAATCACTTCGTCATACTGGCATCAGACACACACTCTTGCATGCACAGAGTGGTGTTAGGGTTGAAGTTGTAGAGAATATTGCTGAGAAAGCATTATCTTTCGTGTTAGCGTTCCATCTGCAAGTATTACTGTTAAATTGCACTGCTTGAAACAAAGTTGTTCTCATCTACAAGAGCTGTAATTCACACAGCCAAGAGCAAACATCCTTTAATTTACAAAAACACAGGCCAGCACTGGAGACTTTCCTTGCTTTGAGAGGGTGGTGGTGGTGAATTTCACTGATCAGAAAACAAACCCATACCCTTACTAATTCAATTGCTGCTTTGCCTCACATAATTGGCAAAGGCTGATCTTCTATTAACCTGTTCTTTGATTCATTCTCTTTCGGGTTTTAAGTGGGGAGGTAAGTGCTGTGGTGTGGTCCCTTCAACTTTCTCAATGGTCTTTTAGGCAAAACCAATGAAGTGGACATGAAAAATGAGATTTTGGAGGATGTGGGGAAAAGAGAAATCTTGCAGAATACTGAGCATGAGGAACACAAAGAGGAGTCTGAGGAGCAGGAAGTACAGACATTGCATGCTGATGAAAACACAGAGGCAGAAAAAGTGATTGAAGAAACCGATGCCGGGTCAACAGCGATGTTACCAGATAGTAGGCTTACAGAACAAAACCAAAGCCTTGCAGAACCTGTGTCAGGGAATGCTTCTTCAAACGATGATAGTGACGCAGATGATTTGAGAAAGGAGGCAGAGTCAGCAGACACAGCAGCCCCACAGCCTGTTAGCGAGGAGGCCGAATGCAGTAACTCACATCCAAGGACAAATCAGACCTCAGAGGTGAGCTCAGTGCAGGGTCAGGATTTTGAGAGTCCTCAGGAAATGCCCAGAGACTTAGGTACAGAGCATGAACTGGAAAAAGCTGCTCCAGAACAGGAAGAACGAGAGGATGTGGAGACTAGCCATGCACTGAGTGCTAGTGACGTGGAACAAGCAGCTGACACTGCAGCTAACAGCTGTGAGTCAGTTTCTGACCAGCCAGAGCTACCAGGGTCTGAAGTAGCAGGCTCCCTGAGCGAAGAGGTGAATGTGGAGAGTCACCCTGAGACACTCCAGCATGTGGAAGAAAGTGCTGAGGACAAAGTTACAAATGTGCTGGAGGAAAAGCTCCTTGAAAGCAAAGACTGCACTGATGGGACAGCTGATGAGAAGGGAGGTGATAGAGCTGAAGAGGAAGATGAGGTGGGGAATACAGCTCAGGGTCAGGCAACAGAAAGGGATTCCGTGGGTTTGGAGGGGAAGGAGTCCCATGAAAGTGGTGTCCCAGCAGATAAAAGTGAAAAAGAGGAGGGAGGAGATCAGGCATGCATTCAGCCAGCTTCCTCAGAGGATGTTCATTTAGCATTGTTAGAGGAACAGAATATGCAAGAGAAAACAGAACTTAAAGCTGCTGAGGAAGACAGACAGAAAGAAGTACTGATGGAAAACCTGGAGGTGTGTTCAGATTCTGCAGGAACAGGCAAGCAGGAGGAAGCACCTGCGGAGTCTGTGGGCTCTGGTACCGAGGTGAAAGAAAATGTGCTGCAGCAGGCAGAGCCAGGCCCAGACGTTGTGAAAGAAATGGCATCTCAGGAAAGCAGTTCAGACCCAAGGGTTTTAGATGACAAAATTCAGGAATCAGAAATGGAAATACAATGTGAGTCTGGGAAAAGAGAGGAAAGTAGGGCAGAACAGGTGGAAGACTTAGAACCAAAGGTGGAACTTCAGACAGTTCAGTGTAGTAAAGACACAACAGGAGATCCAGTGGGAGAGAAAAATAGCTCTTCAGAAGATGAAGCACAGGATGCAGGTGAGCAAGAGGAAGGCGAAGCACAGGATGCAGGTGAGCAAGAGGAAGGCGAAGCACAAGCTGTAGTGCAGCAAGAGGAAGGCGAAGCACAAGCTGTAGTGCAGCAAGAGGAAGGTGAAGCACAAGCTGTAGTGCAGCAAGAGGAAGGTGAAGCACAAGCTGTAGTGAAGCAAGAGGAAGGTGAAGCACAGGATGCAGGTAAGCAAGAGGAAGGTGAAGCACAAGCTGTCGTGCAGCAAGAGGAAGGAGAAGCACCAGCTGTAGTAAAGCAAGAGGAAAGTGAATCTAAAGAGGAGTTCACTGTAGATCTTAGTGGAAATAGTGAAAACCAAGCTGATAAAGAAAAACTGAAAGAAGATGAGAAACAGTTAGAGCTTGCAAACCCCCACGGTGATGGATTTGCTCCTGAGGGTGATGCAAATAATTGTCTTGCACAGAAAGCTGAGATGGATGAAAATATGAGTGAGCGAGTTAGCTTGGAGGCTCAAGCAGAGGAAGAACTAGAAGATGATGGTGATGCATTTGACTTCGATGAAGAATCAAAACAGATACTGGAAACTGATGAAAAATCTGATGATGGAGAGAAAGCTGATACACAGAATGGGGAGGATGATGGAGCAAATGGCGAGGTCAAAAAAACTGCCCAAGCAAGTGAAGCTGGAAAAAGAACTGGTGAAATAGAAACCGAAGTCCCCTTGACTGAAGATGACAGCTTACGGCATAAGAACGGAGACCAGTCTGGAGAAGCAGGGCACTTGCAAGGGGAAGCGTCGTCACTGAAAACTGATGAGAAGGCCGATGTGTTGGAAGATGAAAGTAAAGCATCAGATTCTAATGAAGTGGAAAAAATACCAGATGTTTCAGAACAGGATTTGGAAAGTGCTTACAGGGCAGAAAGCAAAGAGGATTTGCAAGGTGGTAGAAGGGGTAAGGGTAAATCTAGAGATGACTGTACAATATCCTAAGTTAAAAATCTCAGGCTACACGAGATACATGCCATTTGATCAGTCTCAGTACAGAAGCATGCACTTTGCACAACAGATCAGGCCTTAGGAATATAGGCATACTCTTAAGGTGTTTTTTTTCCTTATAGGTAACTCTCATCATAATACACTGCCAGGTCGTATAAGTGGTAATGATGCAACTATTAAGTTATTCACTGACGTACCTAGCCACAAAAAATCATGCGTGGGTTTGGTTTTGCTGTGTCTCAGGTTAAATGTTACCAAAAGAGCAAGCTTCACAAACGAGCTATGCGGTCTATCTTGCAGTTAAAGTACTTTTAGTGTGAATAACTGCTACTGAGGAACTTTTATATGAAATTCCTCCTTTCTAGCCTACTCTAATGATAGGTTATCTGAATGTACTTCCGTGTGCATTAGATCGACAGTATGTTAACGCCTTGTCATGAAGGAACTCAGTAGCTCAGCAACACTGAGATCTAATGTTGAAACTTGTTGCTGAATGATTAAAGCCCAGGAACCAATTTTTTGTTGCTGTGGAACAAGATAATGTCATTCCACTTTTTGTATCTTTCTAATATGGACATATTCCAAAGTATCAATCACTGTGAATGCGCTTAGTCTAAACTCTTTGGAGGAACAATTCACATTTTGAAGGAAGTACAGCATGCAGGTTGCTAAAAGGAGCAAATATATTATTGTTTACTTCATCTAGGCACTTTGCACCACAATAGGCCTTTTACACCATGTCTCACATGGTTTTTTTCCTAAGCAAGTATCAGTACACACTGTAACATGTGCTTAGGTTTGCTATTCAGTACTGTCTAGCTATGAATATTACAAAATACTTATTTTTCCAAGAAGGTTTTTGTTTAAAATTGCATTCCTTACTGCATTATATATATATATATATATATTTCCAAAATATTATTCTGAAAGAATGTTTTTTTTCCTCTGAAAAATTCTTTCCTCCTCTTTTTCTGGAGAGAAGATAACTTTGGATGTCTTAGTCCTTACTGGGTGTTAGACTAAAGACTGTTGTTGTTTTCTGTACTAGCCCCCCGAGCCTTTTTGAAAAGCAGGAGTACTTTGAATTGTTGGCTTGAACTAGGCACTTCGACTCACTGCTATATTTTGTGCATCTTTTGTAGTGCTTGGGAGGAAGAGCATGTTTTGCATAAGTTGTGTTAAGCAGTGAACATCCAAAGGGAATGCAAACTGAGCAGTCGGGAGGGGGCTGTAGAAGGTTCTGTCTGTGTTGATGTTACAAAGCTGATGGATTGCAAACAGACTGCAAAATTTCAAGATGTATATCAAAATGTACTGAGCTGTATATAATTGAAATAAACATATTTTCTACTTTAAATTGCCTGTCCAGAGCACTGTTTATAAACCTGCATAAATATTTTTTTTAAATCCGTATCATTTCACAAACACCATTTCTACAGCTTTCTTAAATGTATTGCATTGTGCTGCATAGATAGAGCTGTCCCGTTAGGCAGCCTTGGGGTTTGAGGTCAGTGGATGCGATGGCACCCATGGCAGCACACCTGTGACAGAACTATAAACCTTTAACTCCTTTCATATGACTTCTCTCCAATTTAAAACAGCTTCAGTATGGTTTCTGTAAGTATTAGCAGTTGTTTTTATTAAGGGTTTACACTAAATGCTAACCTAAAAAGTCACAAATCTTTAAACTATCTCTCCTTGACGTGTAGTAGAGTTTAAATAAAGATTTTTCCCTTGCCACGTTCAACTGTAATACATGGTTTAATGTTGAAAGTCTTTAAAGGTATTTATATTTAAATGTTAAGTACAGTTAAATATATAACTAAATGTTCTTGCCAGGCGTCACCTAACCTTGTGGATGGATATACGATCAACTTCCAGTTAAATTAGTCATGTGCCAGCATTTCCGATATTTTTCAGGAGTTAGAAACACAACAGGAGTGCTTCTGGATGGTTGAAGGGCAGGTAATGGCGACCTATTTTTAACTATTTTTTACCACTTCAAGGTAAAAAAGCATCTATAAGGGAAGTCCTCTTTTAAAGGCAAGTCAGAGAAAGAAACAATGACAACTCTAGTCTTAACTGTCCAGTGTGCCTGCTTTTATCCCGCAGTAACTTGCCAAATCTCAATGAAACTACAGTAGGAACAAGAACATGGGCAGGCGATAAACAGCTTATGTACTGGAAGTCCTCCCTTGAATGTTAGCTGCTTGGTGCCAGTGTTGGCAGCCAGTTCCTGACTTCTGGAATTGGGCAAGCACCACGGAGAAGGAGGTGGTCCTGGTGTTCCTTAGCTCTTCACTTTCTTCTTCGGTATATGCACATCAAGGGAGGGGGGGAGGTCTCTCTGGTAAATAATCTTAAAGATAAAAGGAACTGCAAGATGATGTGTTCGGAGTTTAAATCAAATATTATATGCGAGTGAGCTTTTGAATAAAATGTATTGCATTAGAGAGAGGGGGAGGGGACAGTGTCTCAGGAGGAAATTCCTACCAGATGGGTGCCTCGTAAAGTTACGTAATTGAAAACCATTTTTCATGTTTTCCCTGTGATATCTAACAGATACAATAATAGATACATCTTGTCCCTTGCGTTGTTTTAGACTTTCAAAGGCAGCAAAATAACTTTCAAACTTTTAAGGGAGTTTACAGTGAAACCAAGAAATCATGAGATGAACTAAAACCAGGAATCTGATTCTGCAATGTTACCCAGTTTGTCTTGAGCAGAGGCAGCCAGCTCATGTGAGCACAGGGTCACGATGTGCAAGACTTCTTTTTACTTTTCTTTTCTTTTTTTTTTTTTTTTTAAAATGACCCATGATAAGTTGATGGATCCAGAGAAGCAATATTGTGCCACCTTCTGTTGGATTCCTCCAGCTCCCTCAAGCCATTGGTGTGTTTCCATGGGACGCAGCCCTCACTGCTTACCTTCCCACCCTCCACGGACGCTTTAGCCTTTTCAGTTGCATCAACATTAATTACCTGTTGGACCATGCAAACCATTAAAGTTAGAACTAGCAGCTTCCCATGCCACAATTCCCTCAATATAGGAAGAGATATCAAGTGTCTGTGGGTTATTAGGGGATGTTAGGTCAATTTTGCCACTGAAGCAGCACCGTAGTTAGCAATACTTTGAATCAACTGCATTACCAAGTAATTTAGAGTGCTCACGTGCCTTAACAGGTTGGAAATCATCTTACCAACGTTAGATCTCACTGAGATGAATTTCAGAGTAATTAATTAATTGATTTCAGAGTAATTAATTAATTAATTTCAGAGTAATTTCATTCATTGTAATATCTTTGTATTTGAAATATGGATAATGACTGTTTTACGTGGGAATTATAATTAGCTGCTTCATGTGCTAAGTCAGGACATTGCTCTTTTCCGCACATAGCTCTAGAAGCCCTCAGATCCTTGGTTTGCTGGAAAAAAATGTCTCTTAAAAGCAAAAATAAAGCTTTATGAAAAGATCTATTAAAGCTGAAGTAAGTTTTATGTATTGCTGTGGGGTTGTAGGATACATGAAACTGAAGATCTTTTATCTACACGAGCAGAAAGCTTTTCTACATAAGCAGCAATTTTAGCAAACTAATATTTTCTGTGATCTTGTAAATCCTGCTGCCAGCATGTCATCTGTCCTAGTGTGGTGCAGATGCCCATCATGAGGGAAGAGAGAAGTGATGGTGAGACCCAGTCTGAAGGTTCACCCCAAAATACTCACGCTGGTTTTGCAGGGAGAGAGGCTGGGGGAAGATGATGTGCTTCCTTACTGGGCACTGGAGGTGTCCTTTCATGAGGCAGACATATTTCACCCCACAACAGTGGTTGTGGTAATAAAAGTATTTCAACTGTGTGCATGACTGACTTCCTTTTAGGATTAAGGTGGATTATTTGGCCTCTTTGGAGTCTGTGAGTTTGGGATAGATTTATAGTGGCCTAGAGATTTTCTTCTGCACCAGTCCTTTTTCTCTTTCCTAATCCTATGTAACTTCATTTCTTGATCTCTGCTGACCTGTGACACCCAATTCTATCTTCATTCTGAATATCTATGACTTTCCTTTTACTATTTGCCCTCCTTGCTTTCTTCATTGGACTTCATTTTTCCCCCTTCATATTTGTACAGAATTTCTGTCTTCAGCTTCCCATATAAGTATGTGAAACTGTTTTATTCTTTCAAAGGATATTTTTCTCTTGTTAGTTTACAAAAACATGAATGTGTTTTCCTCCCCCATCAATGCTCAGGTGTAACAATGCTGGGCATGTTACAAATAGCTAATAAAAAAGATAGGTTCAAAATGAATGTGTAGAACTGCTGAACTGGGATGTCACTTTAGGGTCTGTATTTGAGTACTGCATCAGAAGACAAGGTAAAGGTTTTATTCTGTGCTCTAGAATGACTGCTGGTACGTGGGAACTTGGATACACAGGAGAGAAATGACTTACCACGAATTACTAGGTAATGGACTGCTCCTGTCTGCCAAATAGATGGAGTTTCAGTTGAAAACTTCAGTTTTGCCCATGGCTTGGTTGATACAGACTGTTTATTCTCTTTATTGAATGTGTGAACAAGAAAAAAAAAAAAAAGGTGAAGACTTTGGCCTGCTAGGGATTTAACAGTGAACAAGGATAACAGCGTGTTGTATTTTAAAATGATTTTCAAAGCTTTTCAAAAATATTTGTCTGTCAACATGAAAATCCATCCACCTGCTAAAAGCCCAGCATTCTTCTGTCTGTGACCTATAAATTGCTTTCCTTGAGTTTACAAATGTCTTTTTTTCCTATGAGTGACCTTTGGATTTTAACAATTTAATAACTAACAGGCAAGACCTTAGATGTGGAGTTGAGCTCTGCACTCCCTCTGGCTTGGTTCTGAGCAGTGACTGCTTGCTGGCAAGGCAGGTAAACCAAATAAAACCACAATAAACACACGTGTCAAAGCTGTGGAGTAAGACCTGTCTGAGGTCAATATATCGAATGAGAACATTTGAAGGCTATGTTCCAGTGTACTTCTGTTGAGGTAACTGAACAAACTAAGGTTGTTAATGGACGAGGTAAAGTGATCTTAGTGATCTGAAAAATTGTGAGTAAAGATTCGTTGCGTACGGTTCTTGCTAAAATGCTTTCACATTTTGCATTAATAGGAAAGAAGAAACAAGAGATCTGGTTCCTTGCCTCTATTTCTCTTTTCCAGTTGTCTCATTCTGTACTGTGTACTTTATTAATCAATGCCCCACACCTCTGTGTGCTGATCTGTAGCACTTGCAGGTTCAAGTCTAACGCCACAACCATTGGTCTGGATTGCCCATTGCCTTCTTGATGTCTGACTGAGAGGATTTACTCTGGAGGATAAAAGCGAAAATATTTTACAAGACTGCTGTGTTTGAAATAAAAATGATTTCATGGTCATAATGCCGGGGATAACACAATGTTGTTGTCATGCTGTTTAGTAAAAGAACTGAGGGTTTTAAGCGTTGAGAATGTGCTGTGATTACAGGTGTTTACTGTATTTTTATGATGTTGAATTGTAAAGATCTGTGAGATTTTGTGTTGCAGTTGTGTTTGACCCTAGAGTTCTTGCATGCTAACCTAACGTAGAAGATTAGCCTCTTTGCATGCAGCTGGGTGCTGCTACTGCCGTGACAAGCATGCTCTGTGAGAATGACATAACCTCCCCTGGCTGCAGCCCCCTCCCAGTCCTGTCTGTGGCCTCATTTCCTGTGGTACGTGCATAACTACCTTCATCATTAGTTTCACTAACCTTAACGATTCGTTGTCATATCGGATATGCTCTGAAACGCGTGGCTCACTTAAATCAGCACTGAACTTCCAGTTTTCTCTTTCAGAGAGGCTGAGGAAACTCATTGATGAACGGGAATCCTTACTAGACCAGGTAATCTCACACAAACTGAGATGCTGTGCATTGACTAAACGTATGATGAAAACAGTAAAGATTCAGGAAACAAAAAATGTCCCTAATACAGATTATAGAACAAACAAAACCTTGTCTTTCAGCATGTGCTGTGTTCTTGCTGAGGACTTTATGCTTCCCCCTGAGTCTTTTCTCCTGTGCATTAGCTCAGGGCATGAGACAGATGACCCACGGGGCCTGTTTCATGTTGCTAACCAGGCACATTTGGCGCTCAGAGTATTCCAGATTCCTGCCTGTAGCCACCTAAATCTCTGTCATGACTATTTCTGAAAAAATACTTCGGATTAGGTGAGGCCAAGGGAAAAACATATATATGATCCGGAAATTATAGAAGCAAACTTTACGTCCAAGAGTTAGCCTTCCTAATTGCTGGATCTGTGGGTAGTGACCAATCTGGAAAGAATGTTAGAGGAATTACAGGAGATG